ATCAAATTATATTACCTACTTAGTCACAAGAAAAAAATTGTGTCTATTTTTGCCTTATGATAAAAAGGTCGTAACTGACATTTTGTTATGCTATTAAATAAAAACTCCACTTACTTTGCACACGTTTACCCTATCACGAGCCGTATCATGATACATCACGTAATTAAGTCACTTACAGCTAACCTGGCTGAAATATTTATCCGTTTTCTGTTGACACAGCACGTGGAACGAACTGTTCGTTTGCCCTTCAATGTAAACAAAGAGTAAAACTAAATACACAAATGATCATGTTTTCAGTAACTCATTAACTATTCAGTACACAATACCTACACACATACCACCTCCATATTTTTTTATACAAAACTACATAGAAATTCGTAGGCTCCCTTCTGCAGATGGCCTTTCGCGGTCTTAGAGTTCGTAACTCCACCCTTCGCTTCCATTACCTTAGTACTACTTCAAGGAACTACTACTGGGTACTTGTCGTTGCCATTTTGCAATAAAGCTGTTGTATAACTGTAGCTGAACTTTTCCATTTGATTCCAGAAGTTCTAGGTTCGAAAAATGTTTTAAGTATTAACTGGAAAAGGAAAACCGGAAGTATAAACGAAGCCAGAGATTTAAAACCAGAAAAAAACTAAAAATATTTGTGACCACAGGTGAAATACCTACCTTCATGCCGAAGGTTGTTTACAGTTTGCCGGATTATCATTTTCTACTGAACGGTTATCTAAAAATGAATACAGGGACGGCCTCTGGGGGTGGCAAGCAGGGCAACTGAATGAGAATTGCTAATCCTGTATCGCGATGTGAAGAATTCTCTCGCCGATTAGCATATTACAACTTCACAACATCAACCGTTGGGCCGCGGCTCGCCAGGCATGATCGCCTCGCCTGGTCGGAGGATCCCCCTTTGTGTTGGAGGAACATAAAACCCGTTCCTCCACAGGTCGTATATTATAAATCATACATACATACATATTAAATTCATGTTCTCTTATACTTGGCAGGCTTAATTCACAAATAATAACATTAAAATTTGATCCTATTAAAAATAATACACATTTTGCCTAATAAAACTAAATAAACTGAACTGAACTAAGATCTTTCTCACTTATTTATCTTTAGTCTCAGTAGCTCTAGGGATGTTAAAAAATAATCGATTTTTATTGAAATCGATTATTATTTTCTTATAATCGATTTTTTATTCTCGATTTTTATAGTAATGATAATCGATTTTTAGTAAATCGATTATATAAATTACGTGTTTAAATCGATTTTCAGAAACAGCTCGCATCTATGCGACGAATGAAAAAATCTTGCAGTATGTTTCAATTTTAAAAACAGCGCCATCTATGCGTTGGATCAAAAATCTCTGCTCCGTCCGAAAGATTACTTTCCAAAGCGGGAAATGTGGTCAGGAAAACACGAAACCGTATTTTAGGAAAGAGACTATCAAAATTATTGTTTTTAAACTGCTTACTTACCTGAAAATTTATGGTAATAATTTTTTTAAATTTTATTATCGTTTAATCCTAGTCAAATGTAAAATAGGACTGCACATTTGTGGAAATAATTATTTTTAATTTTATTATTGTTTAAACTTGCAGATTAACGAAAGATTGTTTTTTATTTTAGTTTTAGAGACCATAACGTAGTTGTTCAGGATTGATAACGATCCTTTTAAGTATTTTATTTTAATACTAGTCAAATGTAAAATAGGACTGCATGGACATTTGTGACAATAATTATTATTTAAACTTAAAGATTAACGAATGATTTGTAATTTAGTTTAGTTTTTGAGACTATAGAGTAACCAAAGCCAAAACCTCCTTTGTAAGGAGAGCCCTACGTCCAGCAGTGGACTATCAAAGACTGTTGATGAAGAGTAGTCGTTTAGTTTTTTAATTCTCATTTTAAGTGTTTTATTTTAAAACTAGTCAAATAAAAAATTCTCATCATTTCATTTTTATTATAATAAATAAAACGTTTCATAGTACTAAAATGAGTATCAGTAATGCTATTTAGTTTCCTAATTCCCTACTTTGAAATTTTTCGAATAGGTTATTTTTTTATTCATATAATTTTATTTTATTTTTAATCTGATAAATAGTTAATATGAATCTCTTAGGTTTATTATTGGAATGTGGAAAGCATATACTTTTAAATAATACAAAAAAATCGATTATTTATTAATATTAAAATCGATTTTTGGCAAATCGATTAATTTTTAATATAGAAAAATCGATTTTTATTTAATCGATTCTTTTCCATTAATCTCACATCCCTAAGTAGCTCATGAAATAAAGATAGGCCATAGACAAAACACTATAAATCTAAGATAGATGCGCCACTGAGGTTTCAAATTTATTAAAACGAGTGTACGCTAACGCAGAGATGGCGCTGTGTTTCTCATACCTTGCCCGCTAGATGGAGCTAATGTATTTTCTATTTGAAGATTGACGGGTGGGGAAAGATGTGTAGTCAAATAAAACATTAAAAACAATAAATAAATATTTATTTACTCGTAATTTGCAATCATTTTCTGATCACAATTCACACAGTAATAATCTCGTATAAAATATAGTGTTAATTATCTACCTACATATAACATATATTAACTTAACACTGCTTTTAAAACAAAAATATTAAAATTGTTACAAACCAGCTTACTAGCTAATTAACAGCTTCCACAACATTTTTACAATAAGCTTTAATTATTGTGTAAGCAAACACAATTAATATAACTATTAAATCATACTAATTGTTGTGTAAGCTGGTATTTAATTCAATAAAAAAGAACTAACTTTTCTTTAGTTAGAAGAAAGAATTAACTAAATACTTTTCATTTATAGAAAAATCATTCTTTAACACGCTTAAAATAAGAACACAGATGACTCAATTATCATTTTCAGTCAAAGAAATTACCCTTATAAACTTCGCATATATACAATGATTTTTAGATATACTAATTTTTTAATCGCAATAAGGTATTTTACTCTATATAAAAATAAATTAATCCATACATATTTGATATAGTGCTCTACTTATTAGTAAGTACTATTCACGGAATCGCTAACTCATTGTTAAAAATATTTGGAGTTCAAAATAAGCAAGCGAGTTGTTGGAAATAGAATATTCGTTACAACTAATTATAAAGTAACTAAATATAAAGTATGATATCTATTAACATTTTGTAGGGCTTTAGGAATAAATACAAGATGTAGTTCAATAATATGAGGATTCTAGATTGCCTACTTTGGAAATCTTAAGCTAATTTCGTTTATGAAAAAGTTATTGAAAAAAAAAAACGAGGCTCACAAAGAGGTACAAATTGTGCCTACAAAAAAATCATATTAGTGCACTTAGTAGTTTTCCAGATTTGACCAACATTAAAACGTTAGCCCAGCAAAAATTGAATTAATATGGAAATCATAGGGGCACACAATTTAAGGTATAAGTCTTCATCATCATCAACAGCCTATAATAGTCCGCTGCTGGACATAGGCCTCTCTTTAGAAAGGAGCTATAAGTCTGGTTACTTTAAATCCAGAAACTTAAGTTACTGCATTTTTTTTTGCTGCGGTTACGTTACTCCAGCAGAATCTTATGTTCGTGAATAACTATCAAGCAGTTGGGGACACACATTTAAGAAATTGGGCACATTTATACAACATATGGGACTAATTATGACTATCATTCAACCCCTTAAAGCAAACAACATTTTGCTGGAGTAACGCACCCGTCATTACAGGGAAGATGCCCTTTCTCTACCATGTTATGTAGATAAAATCCAAAAAAGGCAACGCACACATCAGAATTCGATTCAAACTCGTGAAAATACGTCCGAAGTAGTTGCAGAACTATTTCTGTGGTGGTTTACGCACTAGATCCGAGTTCCGACATCCGATTTCTTTCCGTTATCCGTAAATCCCTATTCCGGAGAAGATTATTGACTAGCCCAGGATCGAAGTTGGTTGAAAGACAGTGGCAGGGGTATGGTTAGGCCGGTAGCCGGAGTTGGCGGGCCTCTCCATGTCAAGTCATCTGCGGAGTCGTTCCCGTGTGTATTCATTGGTGGAATACCTCAGTTGTCGTGGCAAGCTGCTCCAATGCTTGAAAGCATTCGAAGACAATACCAGATATCATTGTGTCGCTGTCTGTCAGTATTTGGATGTTATGCTCTTTAATACCTCTTGATATGGCCGTATTTTCACGGGTTCGGATCGGACGCAGTGTGTACTCGCACTTTGTCTATATTATTTAATTCCTTCGTTTATGTGACTTATAATAATTTAACGCTTGTATTTTTGTAGCATTATTATTACAAATATTTGTTTTGCCTGTGAGTATTCTGTTGACATTAGTGCACCAGCTGTTTATAATAATTTTTGTCACACTTTCCATTAGAAAATTTATTACTTCTGCTTTATGGCTTACACAAGAGAACTGCGAAAAATTACAAAATATACCTGCAATTTGTTTAATTATACTCTTCAGATGTTTTTGGTGTGGTTCCTCATTTAACTTTGTTTGAATTACTATACAGAAACTCGCATAATGCCTCCGATGGATAATTAAGTGATCTTCTGGTATAATCTCTTTCTAATATATAATCTTTATTACTCGGAGGCATTGTGCTTACTAAATGCATACAACAAGTGTGGCATTTTTTACTTATTTTTTGGAATATTTTTTTTTATAATATAGCCAGCAACATATCTCTTAGCCTCTTTACTTGTCGCATTATTATATTCTATATCTGAGGTTTGCATAAAGCGGGTTATTACGGAATCCACGTTAACATTATCTGAAGGTTGTTCTAATGATTTCTTCTCAGTATAATTCAGTAAACTTTTTAATGGTTTTAATGCTTTATTATCATCTTGCTCGCAGTTCGCCCCAATCGAGTGTGATGAGGTTAAATTATTTATGAGCAATGTTTTAAAAGCACTAGTAAACTGTGAGCAAGTTGGTGAAGTGTTACGAACCCCGTTGCTTCATATATTGCAGAAGAAATTTTCTAATGGATCCTGGTTTATGTTTCTTGTCAACAGACTAGTTATATTGTGTATATTGTTTAGATATGAAAACATTTCTTTAAAAACATTGATGTTAGAAATCCAATTTTGTATTGATGGCACTTGTTCAAATTTTATCGAAGTTGTGCCATCTCTTAATTTTTTTTCCACTCTAAATTGCATTGACCTGATGATTGGTAGTAATTCTTCCCATAACTTGAAATGGGCCGAGTTTCTCCTTAGTGCGCACTTGTATGTTTTATGACTACTTTCATAACTGAATCCATTGAAAGAGTCGAACAGCTTGTCCACCAATAACAATAAATCTGCTGTGCAAATGCATTCCTTAGGAAGGATGTCATGATCTGAAATTTAGGAAATAATGATTACAATGATACATCTTTTAGTTCTTCATCTAGTTCATGTATATAAACTTAAATCTATAAAAATATAAATTGTTTAAAGTTTTATTCCATCGTGAATCCACCTTAAACCCCGATTCGTCGCTATTTAAAAAAAAATCAGTCAAGTGCGAGTCGAACTCGTGCGCTGAGGGTTCCGTACCTAACCATTATACAAAAAAAAACATACAAATTTGGCATAGTGCAAATTAAGCTAGTCCTCTAAATTGTATGAGCGCCCATTCAACTCACAGGACTATCTTAATTGGCGTCAACTATGTACATAAATATGTATGGGGACACCCTTTAACTTTCATCATTTTTATATTTTTTGGCATTTTTCCTTTATTTGTGCTGTAAGACCTTGCTTTTTACCAAATTTCGCGATTCTAGGTCAACGGGTTATTTGCAGTTTACAAATATAAAAATACAAAAATAGTGTTAAAGTTAAAATACTTACTTGCTAAATATCTCATTGTAGCGGATACCCTCTGACTGAACACTTGGGCTGCATGTTTTACTTTCATTTTGGGTATTTTTTCTGGAACAACATGACTCTCGGTCAATTTATTTACTAGTCTAATGTCGTCTTCTCCAGGATCAGCATCCAGCAGCATTTGCAAATGCTCCCATTTATCAAATTTAACGACACCATTCTGAATAAATCTCAAATTTTTTGTGAGAAGATTATTTCTTAATCCTTTAAGGAGGTGTGGTGGGTCAAATACTGGGAATATTTTACTTCCATTATATTCAAAGGATAAACTTTTGAACTCCTTGCCTTCCAATAAATATTTCCTTTTCGTGTCATTTATTAGGCTTTTTATGACACTCATATTTGTGGAAGATTGATCACACACAGTGGCAATGACCTTTAAGCCGGTGCTTTGTACAGCTTTTAGTATATCTTGAATAAGTTTCTTTAATTGTGTACTTTTAGTAGCACTCTGGCAAAATGTAAAAGAAATGGGTTGCTTGTATTTGCCTTTCAGACTCTTAATCATAAACACGAGTGCATGGTCAGCAATCTTTTCGGTTTTCTGAAGGCCAAAATCCTCAAAACCAATAATTTCATCATCAGTTGTGTTGTAATAACCCGGGCCTTAATGCCACTTCATCAAATATGAGTGTGCATAATTTTTTTTCTAAAGGTAATTTATTTACAGCTTTTTTCAGATGTTCCATAACAACATCATTTATTCCAGGCTTAATGGTTACTTTGCTCAGGATTTTCTGGATTGTCCGTATTGAAGGCAATGCAAACAATCTTTGTAATAATTTATAGCCCTTTTGACTTTGCTTATATATTGTCAGGCACAAAATTTTTTCTTGGTTTGTAAATCTTCGGCCTCTTGGTGTGATATATGCCTTTTTTAGTTGCATATTGGTAAAAATGGCAGCAGGTTCGGGCAATTTTTCAACAGCTTTTAAAAAGGCTTTACTTTCAGATATTTTTGCAGCTTGTCGAACTTTTTGGTTAAGATTCTTGCATTTTTCCCTCAACTTTAAAAGTTTGACCTTTAATTGTGCATTTAGTTTCACAAATTTATTCCTGGCAGCGTTAATGGGTTTAGTGCCTTAAAATCATATATATATAATTAGTTAGTATCCAAAATTGATGATTCAATGACATTAAAATGGTAAGATCTACATTACTTTTATGTAGGCTAGTAACATATTAACGGTTTATGAAGAAACAAAAATTTAATATTTACCTTCTCTATAAGTGATTTCTAAATTTTCATTATTTCCCTCTACAGTATTATTTTCCTCTACAGAAAATGAAGTCAACTGAATTTCTGATTGCAAAGCAGTTGAACTGGTTGATGTAGATGCTGAAATCAAATACAACACATACATCAATGAATATCTACTGCCTGCAACTTAGAAATTAGAAAGTGGCAAATTTCCATACAATAGTACATCCCTTATTTTACCTTCTTAGGGGTGAAATTGCCAAAAACTTTTCTTAGTGGATGCTTACAACATTAAAAGCATCAGCTGAAAAAGTTTTGAATTTTAGCCCCAGCGGTTTAGGCTCTGTGTTGATGAATGTGTCAGTTAGTCAAAGTAAGTCATTTTATAATAATACTAGCAATCCGCCTCGGCTTCGCGTGGGTGAAATGTAGATACTATTAATGTGGTACCAGTGTGGAGTAATAACTAATTATACTTTTATTATAATAGGACTATATTACAGGACATCTTTAAATGAAATATTTACAGGCCCTCTCCGAACCTGCCGACCACTGCCACCTGGGACAGATGTACGGCTCGATGGTTGTTGGGCTTTAGCATTTAAAATCTCTAATATCTTCTAAAACATTCATTTTAATGATATGCTGTATTATACATTAAATTATAGAGAAATTTTAATTAAGATTTTTATTACACTTTTAAAAATTTAACTCAGGTACTGATTGTTATTATGTATTTCATTTATTAGCTACTTACCAATATTCAATGTTGGAACAGCATTTTTAGTGAGACGACCACGTACGGTTTTGTAATAGTCTTGAAAATGGTTATCGCATATACGTATATTGTTACGTATGTATTTGTTATCTTTTATTTTGTCTATTTCACTCAAAACCATTTTCCACTGATCAAATTTTTCCGAATATGGGTATTCCTCAGGTGGAAAGTTATGGAGTTTTCCTGAAAGACAGTAGATTTAAAGTTCCAGCTATTATTCTAGTCATAAAGAAAATGCTTATTCAAAATCAGTCAATAGCTTTAAAAACTCTCATATGATCAACTTATTTTTCTTTTTACTTTATTAATTGTACAAAGTTCCTTAAAGCATAGTTACGAATAAAAAAGCGGACTTTGATTTATAAAAACTAGCTAAACCCTACCTTTATAAGGCAAACATCCAAAATAACACTTTAAAGCTGATTTTCTAGGCGTTTCAAAATGTCGTCGAATCCAAATCGCAAAAGCAAGCAAGTATCCAATATTCACAGCGTAGGGTCAATAGTTTACGTATCTTATCACAGGGTCCAAGGGAGAAGCAGGGTCAAAGTTTAAAACAGCACAAAAAAGATATTCAAAAAACCACGAAACTAGCAACAGAAAAGTTTTGAAAGTAACATACATTTGTCTGTCATTCATTAGTCATTTACGTTTCCTTTCACTCAAAAAAATGGGTAAAAATTGAAATTATTTGCATGTTTACAAAAATATTTTTCATGGTAAAAAAATAAATTAAGAATTCATAACAATTATATAATAAGCATATTAAAGAAAGCACTTGAATAATTTAAAGTTCTCATTTTATTTAAACCAATCAAAAAGCTCCACCTATCGGCAGCTATGAATAGTTATGTTTGAGTTCATGTTTGTGGAGATGGCAGAACTTTCTCTGTAATTTTTTTGTGACGAAAAATATATGGAAGTTTCAGGGGCCTGAGATAGGCGTCGTTCAGCTAGTAATTTAATCTAATGAGCTTTAACTGAGTTACTGAAACATTCGGAACTAGTGTGAGTCAGTGATACTGGTCACTGAATTAAAACACTCTCTAACTTCATTTGTGCATCGTTATTCTTCACCATTTAACAAAAGGAACAACTTGCAGGCTTATAAATCACAGTCGAGAAATTCTTACTTGCTAGCACAAGAACCGATGAGCGCCATCTAGTGACATTCACAGCAGATACCACTCGTATGACGTTCGGGAACGTTCCGGTAACTTGTCCCTACAATCACCAAATTTTTACGCCTTTTTTCTACCAATTTCTACGGCTACAAACCAAGATTTACCAATTAAACTCGAGCTAAACATACAACATACTAATTCATTTTAACCAAACAGATACATTATATCGGCATGAATGATGTATGTCTTTAGATCACTCACTCAGGAGCTACAGAACTCTAATGTTTTGCATTGCATTTTTTGTTTCAAGTATGATCTTCGAAACTAGTTCCACAAAGACAAAGCTTAAGATTTTTATTTAGTCCGTGAGGTGACGGATTAAGAATACGGTCGGTACGGTACGGTGTCGTAATAGCCGACTAAGGGAGCAAACTACGCAGAAGAACAGCACTGCAAAGAAAAGGAAAACTTGAAACAAACCCTATACAAACCCGTCTGGCCAGCGTGGTATAGTAGGCCAAAACCTCATTTCTAAGGCTCTCCTTAGAAAGTAGGTTTTGCTGCTGAACATAGGCCTCTGCCTATGTCCAGCAGTGGACTATTAAAGGCTGTGGATGATGACGAACATCATAGAATTCAAAAGGAAAACTTTTTGTAATGTAAAGGGTAGGTAATTCTACAATCAGGTAATGCATTTCATGTGCAACTGCAGTCTGTATTAAATAGCCTGTGCTAATGAGCAATGTGGATATCTCTCGATATTATATACAAGATTTTCCTTCTCTACTTCTCATTTTATAAAGATCACTTGATGCTAAGTAGCTGATTACTTAGCATCAAGAGATTTATAAAGTTGGCATTGACAGATGAACTCGCACAAGACACGATGATATGATCAGTAGTTGTGTTGTATGTATGTTATCCCTGTGGTGATGGATTAAGAATACCTTCTGTATCCCCACAGGATGAACAGGAATGTCACCACCCCTATTCATCCTGTGGATTTCATAAGAGCTGAGTAAGGGAGCAAGCTTTGCAGGACAACAGCACTACCAAAAGAAGGAAAGCTTGACACAAACCCTATAGCAACCTATCTGGCCAGTGTGGTATAGTAGGTCCAAACTTCCCTTTTGAGGGGATAATAGTCCAGACCTTCTTAATAGTCCACAGCACTGGCAGACTGCAGGACATAGCCCTCTACCTATGTCCAGCAGTGGACTGTTAAAAACTATTGATGTGATGTGTGAATACACAATATACTTAATAAGCACAGTTGATAAGTCATACTATACTAAAAACCTGTGAAACATGGGCACTCACCAAACTCCACAGAGCTAAACTGGAACCTTGTCAAAGGGCCATGGAGAGAAGCATGACAGGAACAAGGAGGATGGACAAAATAAGAAGTAGTGAAATAAGAGAAAAAACTAAAAATACTGACATTCTGACTCGAATAGACCAAATGAAGTGGAGATGGGCCGGACACATAATTAGAGACAGGCATGGCAAATGGAGTATGACTATCTGTGACTGTTACCCCAGAGATAGCAAACGTAATAGTGGACGCCAAAAAGCGAGATGGGCAGATGACCTGAGGCTAACAGCTGGACACCACTGGAGAAGGGTAGCGCAAGACAGAACCCAATGGAAAGTGCTAAAAGGAGGCCTATGCCAAGAGGCACTCTGAATTGCGAGATATTTTATAGACTAATCTTATGAACTGTTTAATATTGTATTTAGATAATTCAGAATAAAAGGGCTTATTATTATTATTATACTAAAAACCAAACTATGCCAAGTATATTAAAACATTTTTACATACATGAATTAACACTTATTTCCCTTCGGCATATGCAGACAGTCCCACAGTTATTACATGTATAATAATGATAATACATTACAATATTTGTTATATCAAATTAAAGTATACTGATATCAAAATATTTATTTATATAAATCAGTCTAATACATTTATGTAGCAATTTCATAACCACTTATTAGTACTAGTTTCAAGATTCATTAAGGACCTCCCTCATTTCAACATCGTCAGAAACTGATTCTGTATCATCAGGTTCATCTAATAATGCTTGCAACTGGTGTATGGAAGTAACCAATACATGAAACTGCTTCTTTCTCAAAGCCAATCGGCTCTCCAGCTGCTGTTTAGAAGATTCCAGACTAGCAAGCTCTGTTTTCAAAGTACTAAGCCTTTCTAAAGTCTCTTTTCTGTCAGGTTGTTCACTTATTACCTTAGCTAAGACGTCATACTCAATTCGGTTCTTCCTAACGGTTTTTGCTTGAGCTAAATCCAATTTGCTTTTTTCAATGTTACCTTTGGCTATTTCTATACCATTTTCCAATATTTTTGACAAATCTTCATAACTTTTTAATTCTGCTGACATCATTTCAGAACCCAACTGAGATTTAGTCACTGCAAACTCACATTGTGCTAGTTGGGCTAACATTCTATCGTGAGTTGATTTGCTAAAACAAATAAAAACAATTAAGATTTCTTGAATACACATTATCTAAAAATGTGACACATTAAGAAGTAAGCTCTGTTATAGTACAGTGCGTAAAATAAAATTTGCTAACCTCTCTTCGGCTTTCTCGTCCGTACTGTTACACCATTTTATTAGCGTTTTCAGAAGCACATTTAACCTTCTGTCATCACCAGTTCCATCTCCATCTATGAGAAGCCTTCTGCGAATAACGTCCTCTGAAATAATTGAAATTGTTGTGTTAAAATTTACGTTGTTTTACCTGGATAAAACAAAAATTTTAAAGAACGAAATAGCATACCATCTCCCATATTGATATTGTGGACTTTACAATTCAGATGTATTACAATGATTTACTTCTCTGATTCTCTACTCAAAGTGAAAAATAAAAACAAATAAGTACTCGGGTTAGACTTTTTATGACATTGACAATGGACCTAGATAGTTAATACCAATGTTGCAAACAATAAAGTTAACCCTCCACTAGATTCAATATCTAAAACCATAACGAAAAACGGCTCTACTCCAATTATCGCTAAATTTTCCACTAAACATTTTTTTTGGTTATGACAAAAGAAAACAATAAGTTAAACAATAATTATTTTAATAATTAGTTTTATTTTATCTTTATTATTGTGGAATATTAATACTGACGATCAATATACAAATAGTAAATCAACAAGTGAAGATCAGAAACATAAAAATTATTCAATAACAACAGTTACTTTTTTAAAGTTAATTCGTCTTTTTTAGTTGAATCGTTTTTGTTTGCACCTTCAACGTCTTTTTCAGATTGATACGATTCGTTTGGTGCCGATATGTTTAACGTTGTGTTCCTTCCAAGCTCAAACTACAGCGTATTCTTAACATATCAGATAAAAGATTTAAATTCATTCTATTCCTCTGCTTCTTTTCTTCATTCTTAATGCTAAATAATCTTACAACATCGGCACTGGAATAATTCTTTAAATCTCGAATTTTCTTGGGCATCTTTGAAGTGCATTACTTCCAGTATGTGCAAATTCTTTAACACGATGGGCATTGGTAAGAATGATATCAATTTATTTTGCTATCAAAGGTTCTTGAGGTTTGCGTACACAAACAGCTCTCAAAGTCCCTCTTTCAACATGGACAATCCTCTACACTCTTACTATTACTACCAAACCACTAAAAAAATACACTAGTCACTAAAAGCAATATTTCGACACTAACATGGGGATTGAAACCACCAGTTTCAGTGGAAAGTCCACTAGGCTGGCTACACTGGTTAATACTACATGGATGTTGCATCCGTTTATTAATTTCATTAAAAAAAATAAAGTAAAAATGCCATTTTGATAACTAAACATTAAATCAATAAATTACGACTCGATGTAATGAAAAATAAAATAGATATTACTTAAAAGATTGTAGTGTACAAGTTGTAGTAGTTAAAAAAAGATAATTTGTAAACACATTTTTTTTTCAACTATTGTTCTTCCATTTGAACATTTCAGAACGTGGAAAGATTGTCTTGTCATATATTGTTTTGCCTTCAAATTTCAGCCCTTGCAAAAGGAAATTATGGCTATTTATTTAAGTATCGTGAATATCGTTAGAGATTTCATCCGAAACGGAGCAATTTTAAGTTAATTATATCGAATAGATTAAAAGAAAGCATGGAAAACCCAACTTTTAGTGATAAAATCGAGTCCTACTTTTCGGAGTTAAGGCGATGGCTAGTATTTTGAAATTGAATATATTGAAAACTCAAAGTTTTAAAAGTACAGCTAATATCCTTATCCTTCTCGTTTTAGGAAGGTATGGCGAAGCATACTCTTGGGCCAAGTAATATCATTACTTCTGAGTGGAAAATGTATACTTACTACATTGCTGCAAAGTGCTACATGGCAATTTCCTACAACTGCACAATTGGTGGTCCCGTACTTAGCGCTCTTTATATTATTCACTCCATCATTACTGTGTAATGGGCTAGAAAAGCTGTCCAAGTAAGTGTGCATCATAGAGTGAAATAATATTGTATCAGACATTCTAATTAATTCAAGTGGATGTGACATGCTGTATCTAGGATTTAAATTTATAGGAGTTAAAAATATCGCAACACACATGAGAAACTTACAAATATGTATAAAATTATATTTATATTTCTTTATTTTCTGGTTTGAGAATTCCTTTCTATACAATACATCATTATAAAATACTAGCTGTACCCTGCCACGCTTTGGTATGGCACATTGTGGTTGCAAAAAATAGATAAAAACCATCTTTGAAGCATATTGTATATTGTGTCAAAATTTTAGCTCAATCAGAAATAATGTAGAATTTTTTGAGTCCCCGCGACACAGGATATATTCCTAGTGTGGGAGTTATCTTAAAAAAAAAACGAGTTTTTAAGTGCACACTAACTAACTTAACAATATATATATATAAATATATAGTTGATGACATATTCACCATACAGTAGTAGTTAAATTGAAAATCCTCTTACATAGTGTAGCTGTTGCAATAAGGCCAGCCTCTATAAAGTCCAGAAGTCATGATAATATCTTCTATCAGGACTCAATATTTAACTTAACCCCCAAAAAAAATTAGGAAGGAAGTATAACAACATCAAACAAACACTTCAGAAATTATTTTAATAAGAAGAAATATTGATTTTTGTTTGTCACACGAGATTTAATAAAAAAGTAAAAACAAATTTATTTACAGTTGTATACTGGACCCCAAGTGCTAATAAATATAGAAAAATTCTTGATTTTTAATACTTATATCTGCTACAGAACTAACATTTCATCAATAAAGCTAATAAATGCAACAATGTATATTTAATACCAAGAATGTTAATAGAATGTCCAGTTTTTTCTGAAAATGTCCATAAAAAAAACAAGACAAAATAATTTGAATTGACACAAAGTTTATACTAATTTGTTAAGAAGTGTTTATCTATGTACTGTAAGAAAAAAGCATAAATGAAAAGTCTTTTATTTTAATTCTTTTGAAGTTAAATCCAGTTTTAGTTAGCATATACTGCACACATAACCAAACTATCCATTTGACCAAACCTTTCTGTAATACATGTATATGAGACAGCTCCATTCAAAAGGGTGCATTAACAATGCATGCATTATTCAATGATTACAGAAGGTGGTGGGTGGTGATCATTGCATGCACATTAGATGTCGAAGCCGGTTGGCTGCTAGTCATGTCACAGAGATTCACATCAGTGTTGAGCTGACAACTGTTAGCATGCAGTGGTGTAGGTGCCGCACTGGTGGGGGGAGCGTGGGGTGGTCAGAGACTTGGTGTGGTCCATGTTGCGGGTGCTACTATGGGGCTGATGGCTGTGGTTTGTGTTGTGTGGGCCGATGTTGAAGGTGCTCCCACTGATGGTATGTAAAAGAACATTTTTAATTTCATCCCTCATAAGTAATAATATTAATATTCTACTTTATTTTCACACAAGTAATTTACAGGCACACTAAGTTTTTAGCTTTCACTGTTCCTGATATATAATTATTAATTAAACTGAATGTAATCATGCAATAGGTAATGGATACCTATCCATTGTGTAACGTTTTGACCAGGGAGTGGCAATAGTTACATTCACCTGTGACTATAATGTTGTGGAAGAAAACAATCCCACAATAGCTTTTTCACTGTTTATTGCATAGTAATGTTGTATGTTCACATATTAGTTTTATGGTCACACACTTGAACTTGCTAAAAAGCTTAGAGTTAAGAGTGGCTTGCACTGGTAGTCTCCGAAGCTAATCGAAAGCAATAGCCAATAAGCTAAGGTCTCTTGGTCCTTCAGTTAATACTACCTACCTTAGTAGCCTTTAGCTATTAGCTATTTAGGTAGGTATTATTAGAAGAGGATAAAGACTTAGAGACTTATGTCCCTCCTATACACAAGAATTAACATAAATAAGGTACTATTCTTAAGTAATCTTTTGGTGTTTCAGGTAAAAATCAGTTGGTTGGCGATATGCTTTGCCTCGCCGGCTCACTTCTATTCGCGATGGTCACAGTTCTCCAAGAGATGATGCTAAAAACACAATCTTGCTCCGATTATCTCGCTCTACTCGGTCTAACGGGAAGCATAGTGTCATGCACACAAACATTTTTTTTAGAATTTAGTGAACTGGTGGCATTCAATTGGTACGATTTAGATACTATAGTGCAATTGGGCAGTTACTGCTCTGTACAAACAATATTTCAAATACTACAATGTTTTATGTTGAGAGATGCAGGGTCGATTATATTACATCTATCGTTTTTGTCAGCGGATTATTATACTCTTATTGCTGGGATGTATATATTTCAGTTTAAGGTGAGTTCGTTTTTTGGCTTCTGATTTTCATTGTATAGTAATTTAAACAGTTTTTGTGTCAGTGACGGTACCACGATACTTATATATAAATTTTCAAATACTAAGTAAAAGAAAAGAAATTCATACTGAAATTTAACTAATGTCAATAATGATTTAACAATATTAAAACTTTCGCGATTCGCCCGAGCGAGTGACATTGAAATGAATTGCCTCATCTCGCATTCCTGATTCACTAACCTAGATCGATTTAATTTGAAATACAGAAATATTATAAGGGAATTAAATCATTAAATTTTGTACTTTTACAGTTTCACGCCCTCTATTTCCTGTCGTACATGTTGGCGATGGTAGGCGTGTTCTTATTCAGTGCTAGACCGACGAGGCCACTGCCCCCAATACCTGATAGACTGCCACAGCTGGTCAATGACTCGGTACAAGGTCAAGATAATGTTTCTATGTAAGTACTTTATGCCATCAACAAAAATGATATAGTGATCCTTTTATAGTCATTTAATTGTATTCAATGATTTGTCTTCTTTGCAAATATGTGCTTAAACTGTATGTTACAAATGATATTGGGTATAAGTATGTTCTTACTTGTTATTACAGCCGACATAATTATATTACAATAACACCCTATTGTTGTGGTATATTTAACTGATATCAAAGTTAAATCTGAAAACTTTCATAAAATATCAATTGAAATAGTGGTTTTTTTTTTGCTTTCTTTGTTAACTGCACTGCCTAAAATTCACGAAGTCAAAAACAATTAATATATCAATGACCTTCTTCAGCATATCAACAATGTAGAGCGTTGTTGGATCATAGTGCTTCTAAAAGGTTATGAGATGCAATGGATGTAAGAAATTAATAAAATAAAAATGGATAACCACATTAATTCGTTTGATGAGCTTATAGATTTGGTTTTGGCCGAACTACCATAGTCATTTTTACTTTTTTTTTTTTTTTTTAACACATCTTACACACGGCCGTCTGATCCCAAACTAGGCAGAACCTGTACTATGGTAACCAGACCGCTGATAAACATACTTATATATTTTTAAATACATACATATTATAGATAAATTACACCCAGACACAGAACAAATGACCGTGCTCATCACACAATATTTGTCCTGGGTGGGAATCGAACCCACGACCTCCGGCTGAGCAGTCAGGGTCGCTAACCACTAGACCAACAGGCCCGTCAACAACTTGATAATTTATTATGAATTTATCCGTGAACATGGCGCTTGCAGTGCCAGAATATTGGAAACTAAGTCCCGAAAACAAATATGATAAATATTCCGTTTAATATCACTTATCAAGAAACAATCTTTAGCAGCAAATACATAATTATATTATTGAACATCAGCAATAATTTGAATTTCTCACATTGCAGGGAATACACAGTACCAACACTTGACTGCATACCTATCGAAGGTCTAGAACCGCCAATGAGCAGAGACACTACATTTACCTCCTTTCTCGGCGCTCCACACAGCGTCCCCAACGGCATAGTGACATTTGCTCAGAACAACGGGGCCCAAATAGCTAAAGAAGCCTGTTAACATAGGGCAATTGAGGAAAGTGATCATTAACTATAAATAGCGTTTAATCATGTTTTATTTCAGAATATTACATAAGATAATGCGATGCGATGATCTCAATTTATTAGTGTTTAAAGTTGCTTTTCACTTAGCAAGATTTAAGGATACTGTCCATGCAATTTACGAAATTATACATTGGTATTAAATTCCAGTGTAAATTAAGAAATGTATATTCCACCTTATATATACAGTGAAACCTGGTTAAGTGAGACATCAAGGGATCTGCAAAATTGTCTAACTTATAGGGGGTAGGTTATTTCAGTTATAGAGGTGCGATTATTAAATAAAATAACGTATTATGTAAACATTATACGTGAGTTTTAAACTTTCTTGGGAATCAAAAAAAGATAATTTAGGTAATTATTCTACAAAGAGTAGATTTTGGCACATTAAATTCGAATTTATCAAAAAAAGATAATTTAGGTAATTATTCTACAAAGAGTAGATTTTGGCACATTAAATTCGAAATAACGAAACCCAGATATAGAGGTTTGCTTCATCCCACTAACATAGGTAATTCAGTGCCAAAGTGTTGGGACCTCAGCATGAGTTCCAGTTATGAAGGTTTCCCACTTATCCAGGTCCCACTTCACCAAGTTTTACTGTATATAACTTAAAAATACTTTTATAGGATTTCATAACCGAGATAGGGTATTGTCCTAAAATGTTTATACCTAGGTAATAAAATTCGCATTGTAGTTTATGTAAGACAGTCCGCCTTTTAGCCATACGTGTCGCAGTACTAAATATAGGGGGGAGCATCTAGGGCAGCCCATCAGATAAGTTAAAAAAAAAAGATCGCCAGAAATACTCGAGCGTGTAAGATTTTAAGTTGAGTCAATGTGTATGTAACACGTTGGAGTGTATTAAAAAAATGATTTTAACCGTGACAGAAAACAGTGGGAGGGTCACAAAAAAAACACATGACCTTTACATTTTTTTTATTTTGAAGTAGAAAAGAAATCTTCTTGAAATGTCTACATAATTGTTCGTGCCTTTATTTGTCACATTTATAAAGAAAAATATTTCTAACAGTCATTTAAAATACCAAATATGCAAAATTATCGTCAGATTTTTGGCTAGTATGAGAGAAACATCAAGCTGAAACGTCTGTATAAAATCTAACACGCTCGGGTATTTTGAAATGGCGATCTTACGACTTTACAGTTTTGCATTTTCAATAATTCGCTACGAGCTTGTGTCACTTTAAATTCGTCAGACCTTTCAATGGGAGCATTTTTGGCGTCCAAATAACATATCCCCAAAATATCTGATGCGCCCAAATATATTTTTTCGATTACCTCCCCTTACATTTTTGAAAACCTGCAGAAGCTTTTCTCACCGCTGAAAGTGGAAACTTAATAAAACTTTTATTCATTCTATTACCTAATCTTTCAAATGCAATAGGTCCCCATGACGCTCGAGTAAATCCACATTTAGCATTATGAGCTCCCCCACTATTATGACTATTAAGTAAAGATAGACACGCCATTTTCTTTGATATTATTTTACTGTTATTAAATAACGCTTTAATTTCTAATTAGGTAATTGTGACCCATGTCTCATGTATTATAGTATAAGTGTAATAAAATTCTAATTTTAAAATTAAGAAATTGACTGGAAATTAGTAAATCTATTACATAATTATGTAATCCATTCGAATATAATGTTTAATCTCACTGAATACTAGGTCATAGATACACTGACATCTAGGAAACTAGTCATTAGCGCACACTACTCTTAAACCTATATGTATGTAGTCTGGTAAGTTACATAATGCTCCAATTGATTATATCCCTAGCAATAACTGATTTAACTGAAAACAATACGAAAACTGCCATATATTCGAATTTTTACTCAATTTTTATCCTCAGTATTATAATAGAAAATTTATATGAAATTTTAAGTGTAGTTTATTATAAATGACATTGGAATTTTGGAAAATTTAGAAAACTTAGAATTAGTAAAGGCTTAGCTGACCTCGAAAGGCACCCTTCTTTATTAATAGACCATTAATACGACTATGTTTATACCTATATAAATGTAGTCGGCAAAAGATGTTTTACAATAATTGAACGCTTTATTATTTTAGTACAATTTAATTAACAGAGAATATTAATAGTTATTAATCTTTAATTCCGTCGATTTTATTAAGAAAGTTCCTTTCGGTCATTATAGTATATTAATTGTTGATAATTAATTTTATCTGAAATTCTACCAACGTTATAGAGCTCAATTAATAAAAATAAGATTTTAACACATAGTGAATTTAGTCCATTAGATAAATCTATCAGTAATTGAGATCACTGTGGAATTGAATATATTCTGTACTGTATTGTTTTATAAGAGATTCTAACAAATAAATATTTCACCAATATAATGGTTGTGTTACGTTAATTGTAAAATATTTAAGCTATTTATTAAATTGTTGCAAATTATAATTAAATGCTAAACACGATAAAACTATGTATCTAATTTCATGATTGTAACTCAAAATTTAACGTGTACTCTAAATTCAGACTTAAATATACAATGTTTTCATGAAATCGTATTTTTTATTCTTTGCATTTTATGCTTGTTTCTTTATATTTATTTTCATTGGTGTACAATAAAGAGTATTTATTTATTATTATTATCTTCGTCAATTCTTCCACCTCTATCCTATTCGGTAAACTGATATAAAACTGTAGTATTATATAATTAACTAGCTGAGACCCGCGGTGTTACCAGCGCTTGTTATAACCGCGGGCAACGCCGCGGGGCGAAGCTAGTCTAATAAAAGTAGCCTCAGTTACTCCTTATGTCATCAGCTATCTGCCAGTGAAAGTCCCGTCGAAATCAGTCCAGCCGTTCCAGAGATTACCCGGAACAAACAGACAGACAGACAAAAATTGTAAAAAATGTTATTTTGGCATATGTACCGTTTAAACATACATATGCATTTAGTAAAAAGCGGTTATTTTAATATTACAAACAGACACTCCAATTTTATTTATTTGTATAGATAAGGCAAAGCTTCGAAAACCGCAAATCAATTGTATAGAAAAATTTTTTTTTTTTAATTATAATTCAGTAAAAACAATCTGTACCTACTGATGTATAGAATATACATTATAATAAATGTCCATCTCGGTGAATGAAACTATTTTGTCACAATCTCAGAATATTAACCAAATATTTAGTTTCTTGTAGGTCAAAATGATATTGATTAACAATTCCATTTTTGATAATATCGTTTTCTTCGTTCTCTGGGACTTAAATGGTGCCTCAGCAAAGTTAACAGTTATGAGTCGGTCATACTAACTGGGAAAGCATAAACGCTTTTTCGCTCGCTCGAAGAGGACACTAATTTTTATATAAAAGGTTATATTTTTCTACCCCTGAAAAAAACATCGAAGCTATTGGCTCAGTAATCAACAGATAATATCCTAATTCTGAAAAGAAGTTTTTTTTAAATAATACAAAATTTACATTTTCTTGTTTTATTTATACACTTTTATTAATTATGGTCATGTCATAACATAATACAAGAAACTGAAAAAATTACACATTTCAAGTTGTGGAGGGATCCGAAAATAATTTGTTTGAGTTAAAGTCAAATCAAGTCACAGACTACATTGTATTGCTGACTGACATCACGAGAAACATGTTTTTCCTAACTTTTTGCTTGGATTTGCTTGTATTCACACTGATACAAAATTAAAATATGTGTACAAAATTAGTGACGTGTAATTTTTTAATCTACAGATAAAACTAAATATTCTAGGAGGATGTTCTTTGCACTCACGTTCGATGTGTTTAAACGTGCATAAATTAATAAATCAAAAAGATTAGCAGACACCCCAGACTCGACCCTCCCCCCTCTGTCGCTTTAAACACAAAAACAGAAGTAGTGTAAAAAGAATACAATTAATTCTTGAATATATAATATAATCATTTTGTGAATATAATTCTATGAGTACGAAAGACAAACTGATGAATGAATATAAAAATTACTGTCCGTTGACAATAGGAGAATGAGTAAGAGTGGAGAGAGAGCTGTAGTTTACATAACGACTACTATTTTAGCTAAGTGAGCAATAGCGCATTAATAAATCGTCCGGTCAAGTTTTTTCCTTGATTTAGCTATAACAAGTTAATGCTAACACCTATATTAAGTGTTTAGCAGCTGGACGTTTTGTCAAGTCTAAAACACGCCCAGGGAAGTGAGGGCGAAACATTTAAGATAATTCATCTAGTCAAAGTTTAAAGATGCATCTAAGTCAATATTTTTTGTATTTTAAAGACAAAGACAGGTCTGAAACTTAATAAAAATCAACATTCTATCATTTTAAAGTTCCTCTTAATATTAATAGATAAAAGTTTGCTAGCGAACTGTTACAGTTCCAATAATTGCAGAAAAATTACATCAACAAATGTAATGAACGAGGCTTTCAAGTTCCTCGATTGCTGACAACTATTTGTCTCTAGTTTTAAAACAAATCTAGCATTTGACTATGTATACATATACTACTGGATGTATTGTGCCCGCATATATAATTTGACTCTATAGTTTAGGTACCATTTGAAATTTTACCTACCTACAATATTTTTAACAGCCTGGTCAACGAATCTGAATATAAAAATCTGTACGACAGCTTGACAATGTATCGCAAAGGGAATAATACTCAAACACAACACTAAATTTTTTAAATATTTACAACTTGAACTAAGCTTCATCTTCACTCGCAGATACGGATTTCCTGGATACTGGGGTATCAGGTCGTGAGTTTCTGGAACCGGATCTTGACCTGGAACCGGATCTAGACCGAGACCTCGACGCACGAGACCCGGATCTGCTTCGGGATCCACTTTTGGACTTAGAACGTGATCTTGAACGGCTTTTGGAGCGTGATGGTGAACGAGATTTGCTCTTAGATCTGTAAGAGGGGAAGCATATTAAATTTGATTTATTTATACAGCCTCTGAAAAATCTTATAACATTTATAACGCTCATATAGAGATCGAGATAGGACAGTATTTATTTCCAACATTACTAGTAGTGCTAAATACAGAAACTAATAATAAATAAAAACTCACCTTGACCTTGACCTAGAAACGCTTTTGGATCGCGAACGGCTCTTGGAGCGAGATCTGCTCTTAGATTTAGATCGACTTTTAGACCTAAAACAATAAATAATTAATTATATATTAGTGCATGACGAGTTTTCTTGTAGGCATAATATAATTTTTCGCGAACGCCAGAACGTACAATTTGGAATATGGTACAGAAAATACGCAGAAAAAAAGTTTTGAAACAATATGTGTTACTAAAAAAATAATTTCGAAAAAGTGGTCAATCAATCTGTCATCGTACGTACGTCAGTGACAATGACAGTCATACTTCAATTACGTTACGTCACTATCTTGTGGCCTTGTCTCCCCTCTCTTGCCCATGAGTAGGTGACTGGAGTGTGACGTCAGGACACGTTTTTGCCGCGGATTTAGAAATTTAAACTTGAATAGCAATTTTTACATATAAATAGATCTAATTTCCCGGAAATATTAATGTACTATGTACAATATCCTGTATGGAATACTCTAAAACATTTTCTAAACTTAGTCAAATAGCCTATTTGACTAAGTTAGACTAAGTAAAACTATGGGGCAAATGGAGAGAGTACACCTGATAGTACACTTTCAACTCAAGAGTCACAAGTGCGTTGAGTCTCTCCCCCTAAGCTACGATGGGGGGAATTGGATTAGTACTTTTGACTGCTGCATCATCAAAAATAAAATAAAAAAACATTATACGGATACAGATATTACGGTCAAAAGTACTTTTCAGATTGATTATGGCGATTAAGAGTTCTGACTGTAACATATTTACTATATATGAGCTATTGACATGAACCATTTAAAGTTTTTACAAGAACGGCATAATAGTTTTCATACATAGCTACTTATATAAAACTAATATGGGTAAATAAGCTTAAAATGTGCACCTGGCTCGGCTATTAGACCTAGAACGGCTCCTTGAACGGGACTTGCTTTTAGATCTTGAACGGCTTTTGACTGACCCCGACCTGCTACGTGACCTTGACTTGCTTTTTCGTGACCTACAAGTACGAAAAACATTAAAAAATAAAAACGTGATTCATTTGTTAAACTTATGATAAAATAGAAAGCAAGCAGCTTAGTGCGCTTCCAGAGTGCAGAGACATAAGTTGTGGAGCAATTTATAAAAAATATTATAAACTAGTTAAACTAAAAATATTACTATGAACTTTGTTTTTGGCAGTTAGTCACCCAATGGTAAGTGACTACGGCTGCCCGAGAACAGCTGCAACTCAAGAGATATAAGTTTAAGTGCATAAAAAAATAATATGTTTCGGACTATGACAAAAAAAGTAGAGACTATGGTAAAAAGAAAATTAGTTCCAATAATATTGTTTTAGCAATCTTTTACAGTTGAATACCCTCAAATCAAATCAATTTTTTTAAATGTAAAATAAGTAAACCTTAATACTAATTAAACTTACCTATCACTATCCGAAGCAGACATAATCCTCTTACGTCCCTTATTGGCCGGGGGACTCCGGCTGCGACTTCCGCTGCCACTGCGACTTCCACTGCCGCTGCGACTGCGACTCCGCGACTTTCTAGAGCCCTTATCTGATTCAGATTCCGAAGTCGATATAGTCTCTTTGGACACGATCTTCGCGCGTTGTTTAGCACCAAGTTTCTCTTCGGCTTGTTTGGCAGCTCTTGCCCTTTCGCGTTTACCAATTCCTTTTTCACCCTATTGAAAGTATATAAATTCTAAATAAATTCACATAGCAGATCAGATATTAAGTTGTTTGTTTTTTAGTTACACAAGAGTCTAATGTTTTAGTCCACATAAGACTGCATACGGCTTCATCTCCAAATAATAATAATTGTAATTCTTACAAAAATATGCATTTGAATCAACAAATTGTCGAAAAACGGCGTAAGGGGTCTATGGACCGTTCGGAACGAAGTTCTTTTCGCTTTTTGGTAGACGTTTGCTTTACAGTCTGCTTTAAACTCAGTGTCGGAAAAAAGTCTTGTTACACATTTTTCGGTCTCGCTACCGCTACTAGCTCAGAGCGTGTAACTTCGTTCCAACAGCGTTAAAATTATACGTAATATCATACTAATGCTCACAAGTAATGTTGTATTCGCTTTAAAAGATTGTTTGTCTGTGCGTAATAGAAACGACTTGACTACTCAATCGTTTTATACTCATATTAGGTTTACATACACGTCATCAGAGGTACCATTCACGTAGTAAATAAGAATAATCTTAAGTGATGGAAAAATAACTTAAGCAAAACAAGACTTATATAATGGTTGGTCACCTTCTTTCTGCCCCGTTTCTTGGGCGGGTCGCTGTCACTGCCGGAGCCCCTGTTTTCCTTCTCGCGCCGTTTGCGCGACTTGCCCTTGCTCTTGCCCTCGCCGCCTTCGCGCTTGCGTTTGCGTTGCTTCTCGCGGCTATTCATGCATAACAAGGTATTTTTGTTAAAAATTAGGATTTAATGACCATACTCTACCTTTTCATCACAGTACATCATTATCTACCTTTTTTTAAATCCTAATTTAATTTAGGGTTTCCAGTAAAGATATGCCAACCCCATCTTGATACATAGTAAACACAATGAATTAAGGTTACAAGAGTCTGGGATATTATATCATTGCTGAACTATTCATTGTAATCAAGTGCAACACAACTTTTTAGCTGCTTCTGATTCTAATCTACCTTGTATCTTAATAAGTATTTAGACTGCGTGTAAAGTCAGTCGTAGTTAACAATACGGGTCCTGCGAAGATATAACGATGTTCTACTCAGTAAACTTAGTGAGAATAAAAAAGTAGCTGTTTGTTTATTCTAGCGCCAAATAAATAGTCAAAAATAAATCATTCATATTGCAATTGGTTTTTTTTTAAATTTGTGGTTTCATTGATTAGAAGGAAAAGATGAACTTAAGGGCAAAGTAATATGTTCCATTTCATACATAAAAACCATGTTTGTTTGTTTGTTCGTATTATTTAATCGTAGCCGTTGTTTACGAGGGATGAAAAAATACAGAGCAAATTGCAAACGCGAGTTCTTTATAAAATATCTACCGAAAATGATAATAATAACTTCACACTTCTGACACGCGGCAGTCTGGTCCCAAACTAGGTAGAGCCTATATTATGGTAACCAATCGGTATTTGTCCCGGGTGGGAATCGAACCCACGACCTGTGGCTCAGCAGTCAGGGTCGCTAACCACTAGACCAACAGACCCGACCAACAGGCAACAAAATTAGGGCCTAATAATGAGAAATTTATTTTCACTTTAAATAAGAGATACTCACGGTTCTCCTTCAGGCCGGGGTCGGTCACTGCCGCTGCCCGAGTCCGAGACGTACTCGTCGCGTCTCCTCCCGCGGCCGCCCTTCGACTTGCTCTCGGCCGGCATATCCGCGAATAACAGGGCGTTCTTCGTCTTTTCTTTGTACTCTTGTCGTTTCTGCAACATCTCCACCGTACTCTTCTGTTGTTGTTCTTCTCGCCGTTTGCGTTCATCTTCCTGAATAACGTGGAACATTTAATTATTAATGGTAAATTGTACTGGAAAGACTAGCAAACTCCTTAGAATATTTCGTGATATGTATTTTTTAAGGATGAAAGTAGGATCTAGTCGGTACATATGTAGAACAAAGATAGATGATCTGGCATAAGGATGTCCGATCTTTTGGATTGCAGAGGTCGCTAGGTTACTCTTCTGTTCGTTTAGATCACGTCGAGGTTTATCGAACCTTACCTCAAACTGTCTCTCCGGTGAAGACGTGTATGTATCAATGACAGCTAGAAAATTCTCTTTTCTAAAAAGTTCTCATAAGGTTTTTCCAAGTCATTTTTAAGCGTTAACTTCGGGCGACAACGTATTTCTAATTTTATGGATATAGTAATAAAGTTTAGTTTCGTACCGTCCTGCGGTTTTATTGGAATTTTCCCTGTATTCGCAGTTAATGACTATCTGGAAGGTTTGTGATAATATTTAAATGAATTATCACAATAATTGCATCAAGAATTCAGTGACACCATCCCTATTTATGATAAGGGTGTCGTAAGAGTCGACCAAGGGAGAAAAATTACGCAAAGTAACAGCACTGTAAAGAAAGGAAATCTCGAAACGAACTCTATACTGACCCGTGTGGCCAGATAGATGGTAGGTCAAAACTCCAAGGAGAGGCCTATGTCCAGCGGTGGTCCATTAAAGGCTGTCGATGTGATGAAGACTGACCTGCTGCTTCCTGAAGGCTTCCCTCTGCTCGCGCTGGCGGTCCCGCAGCGTGACCTCCTCGTCGTGCTGGCGGCGCGCGCGCGCCACGTGCCACTGCGCCTGCGACAGCAGGTCTGCGCACGTGCGCGCCTCGGCCGCCGCCGCGCCCGCCGCCTGCGCGCCGGCCGCGCCCGCGCCCTCGCCCGCCGCGCTCGCCTCGGGCGCGCCCAGCCGCGTGAAGTGGCGGTGCGACACGTGCAGCTCGTGCACCGCGCGCAGCACCAGGCGGAGGTCCGACCTGTCGTCCTTGAGCACGAGCGCGGCGCGTCGGCGCAGCGTGAGCGCGGTGTTGTAGGCGAGCGCGGCGTCGTGCGGCGCCACTCGGCGCGCGCGCAGCAGCGAGGCGCGTGCGGCGCCGGCGCGCCCCGCCAGCGTCTGCGCGCGCGCCACCCACGTCAGCCACTCCACGTCGTGGTGCATGCGGAACTTGCGCACGCAGTTCTCGTACTGAACAATTTATTATTAAATGCTTCTGAACACTTTTCAGTCTCTCACTTGCACTCGAGACACTTAAACGAACGAAACGATCTCGCTTACTTGTACTGAGTGAACATCGAACCTACTGGCTCGACATAGGATCACTATAGCGACACATTAAAGATTAACTAAATATAAGACATAGTAATGATATTATATCTAGGGCGTCTAACGCTCTTGGTTTTATTTTTCGTTGCTCGACCTGTTTTAAAAGAGTCGAAACTTGAATAATCCTTTATTGCAGTTTTGTAAGAAATATATTGGAATTTGGATCTGAAATATGTAACCAAAAATACGTCATGAGAATTGAAAGAATTCAAATTAAATTTATAAAATATATATGTTTTCGATTAAAAATCCCCTTCACGTACTCTAACTATTCATACTTGTGTAAACAATTTCATTTGTTGCCTCTATCTGACAGAAAGGATATTACAGATATCTCTTACATATTAAAAATAACATGTAATGCAATTGACTGTTAACTAAATTAACTAACTCTCAATACACCACCGAAACTTCTAAGACATAATATGCGACCCTTACATGTCCCTCAATGTTCTACCAATTATAGACAGAAGTTCTTTATTCCGCGAGCGAGCAATGCTTTTAATACAGCAGCAGGCAAATTTTACTTCCACTTATTTACTACAAGCTCCACGCTAGCGAGACACAAAATAAGAAATTATTTCTTCTCTTAGTTGATGCCTAAATTTATCTTTTATTATTTTAATTTGATTTATTACCTACACTTGTTCTATTGTAAAAAATGGCGCTTAATGTGTTTCTAGTATTATAACTATATCCCTATATTTACGTTGATTACTTAAATTGTAAAGCGTGCTTTAAGCTACTTAAAATTTAAATTAATAACTATGTACTGAACTCAAAATGGGGATTTATAATTGGCTTACTGATGCAATCCTCTACGTTAAGCAAATTTGTCAGTCATAAATTAAAAAAAACAAAACAAGTTATTTGGCTTACTGGACTAAATGTAAAATGTACACAGTCATATGCTATTTGTGATATACATTCAAGTCAATAGTCTGGTATCCTCATTGTGTGCCTTAGACATTAATGATGAACTAAAATGTGACTACAACAAACAGTGATACACAACAAGTTGTGATTAAGAAGTACCTAACCTGGTGAGGTTCGGTACTTGATCTTCTTAATCCCACTAAATTGTCATTGAACGGAAACGAATGATGTTTGCTTTACCCGGATACATATGTTTATTAGCCTTACACTAGATTTTATTTAGTAAATTATACTACATTCCAAGACACTTTTCAATCTTTTACGACAACTCTTTAAGTACAATATGATACGAATACATAATCAATTTCTTATTCATAGACATCACTTACCATTTGTATAGCATTAATGTATTGTTTCTGCTCAACGTAAATATGTGCAATATTCATCCAAACGTCCGGAAAATCAGCAGTCGCTTCACGTACTTGAGCGAATATATCGCGGGCTTCATTAATACAACCCTGTCACAGAAAGAATATCTTTAAGTAAACGCACTATTAAAACACACACACAAGATGGTTTTCCAGCCAAAAATAATCAAACAAATTTAATAAGGGTTTTACTGTACATCACAGTAAGTCTCTGATTGAGTCAGTAGATTAGTACTCATTGGTGGGCAAATAAATTATCATTTTGTATTTTTGAAATATAAAGGGGTCGAGATCTGTGCCTTGCGGTAGCAACAATCCTCTAAATTCTTAATACAGGTAAGTCCTTAATACAAATAATGACAAGTATGAAATAAGGATATTTCGGTGGCAAAACTTTTTTTATACAAAGTCTAATATTCTGTCAAGTATTCAATGAGCAAAATAAATAAAAGGTCTCATCAAAGGCCCTTCTAAAAGAGATGTATTTATATAATTTATGTCAGTATCAATTGTTACTAGATTTTTTACACTTAATAATGAACTAGCTTACTTTATGTGCAAGCACACATCCAATTCCATTAGCAGCCCAAATATTTTTGGGGTCATTCTTTAGAACTTGTTTATACATGGCTAATGCACGTTCTTGATGGCGTTTTTCTCTGTCTTTTTCGCGAGTTGGTTGGTGAAGAGTTTGGAGCCACACATTACCTGATAATAAAAAAACAATAATAATAATAATAATATATCTCACACATCTCACACACGGCCGTCTGATCCCAAACTAGGCAGAGCCTGTACTATGGTAACCAGACCGCTGATAAACATACTTATATATTTTTAAATACATACATATTATAGATAAATTACACCCAGACACAGAACAAATGACCGTGCTCATCACACAATATTTGTCCTGGGTAGGAATCGAACCCACGACCTCCGGCTTAGCAGTCAGGATCACTAACCACTAGACCAACAGGCCCGTCAAATGTTAAATGTGATGAACATGATTGAACAGGACCTGGATAGTGGCTAAATAAAACGTAACTGAGTCTTACCAAGAGCTATTAAAGAATAAGCATCGTTTGAAGTAGATGAATTCTGCAATATTCTCTCGAATTTCTTTTGTCCTGGACCCCACTCTTGCTGGGCTAAATGCAGGTTGCCCAACAGTGACCATGTATCTGGATGTTCTGTATTAACCTTCAAAGCTTCTTTGAACCAGTCAGATGCTTCGTAAATCTGGCCTTTATCTCTTGCCATACATCCAAGCCTATTAAAAAATACCATTATTATTATTAAAGAACTATTTATGCACATTATGGTTGAATTGATGAGCTAAAAGAATATATAAAAACATTATTTAAGGGTCACATATCATGTAAAAATTTGCGCTCAATTAGTGCAGTACTTTTTTATAGTGTACACAAACAAACTTAACATTTTTATATTTATAGATACATAAAAATAGCCAAAATGAAATTGAAGTTAATTTTGTTTTTATATTATAAGTTCTAGCTTACCTCAAATAACAGTCAATATAATTAGGGTGTTCCTTTAATATGTCCTTATACAACTTTTCCGCTTTGTTGTACATACACAGAGCTTCATTCAGTCTGGCCAGATTGTACATAGTAGTAACAGCAATCGAGTTATAGTATTGAGTGTCCAGTGATTCGGCGTCTGCTTTTTCTCTAAATTGACAAAACAATGGTTTTGTTAACAATATATCTTTCATCAGCATTTTATTACAGTATTACTAATTGGTTGTTGGTAATAGTCTGATATTACACAAGCAAATGCATTATCGGTAAACCCCTTAACTGAGTCCTCGCATGCGGGATACAGGGGCGCGGAGGTAGGACGCGAACGGGGACCTGGAGAGGTGCGGGCGGCGGGCGCTTGTAGTGACAGGAATGCGCCGCTACCTTTGCAGTCCTGTACCTCGCACGCGAGGACTCAATTAAGGTTTATTTATTATAGCATTTTTCCAAAATTAGACAAAAACTGTGACAACGAGGGGACTGTTTCAACTTAAAAACGTACACATGTACCCAAGATATAATGTGTTTAAAACAATATCCCATCAATAAAAACTATTTTACTACCAATTAAGATGTCCAAATAATAAGAAAAATACCAGTTTACACATACAATACTTTAGACATTCTCATTCTTTTATATATGGTGGTAAAATTAAGGTCTCTCTCTACTCACTATAAAGACCCTCAGGCTGTTAATATTAGGATTAGGACACCTATGTATGTCATATAATGCTGACTGTCTATCGTCAAATTTTTGGTGAAATAACTTGGGTAAGAAAACAGTAGGTAACATTTAATGTACACACATTCTACATTCAGAGTAGTTGTTATACCGTTCAACACTACAATATACTGTTTGCTTACCTTTCTAGAGCTTCTTCCAAATAATTTTTAGCTTCCGGCAAATTGCCTAGCCTGTAATGTAAGGCAGCGACATTATTTAATATCTCTGCAGGTATATCTGCATTTACTTTCTCATTTAGTATTTTCATTGCTGTAGTATAAGCATTTAATGACCCCTGAAAAATAAACAACATTTCATTAAAGCTCAAAATGAATCTATTTGTACACTACAAATAGATGAAACAAAATCAACTCATTTACAAATTATTTGAATACTTTAAATAATCTAAATACCTGCAAATCATTTTGCTCCAATATTTGAGCCAACTCTATCCAAGCTTCAACATCATCTGGAAATTGCTCTGTAACTTTCTTCAAATGTTGTCGAGCAATGTCCCTTTTAGATTGTGATGGTGAGTTTGCATACAAAGAGCCTAATATTTTCATGGTCTCATAATTGCCTGGTTGAACTTTTAAAACTTTTTCAAAGCATTGGGCTGCCTGTAAAATATAATAATCTGTTTATTACATGAAAACGTGTTCTTAGTTTATCCTGAAAGTGTCTTTCTTGTATTATAGTAAATTATTTTTTCTAACTTTTACAAAAGATAGAATTCTTGCTAACTTCTCCAACACAGCTAAATGCTTCCGTTACATATAGGTAGGGTTTGAACCCCAACCACTTCCTAGTTGTTAGTGTGAATCTGAATTTAGTTATAATAATAGAAAATAACTATTGTTAATTTGTATTCTGGTATAATCGTCTTTTTCAAACTTTGATTCTAACATATTTGACACTAACTCATATTATCTGAAAAATTGGTAAAATATTAGTTGCTTTATTTTGTTTACAAATTATTATTTATTATTATTATTACCAATCCAAATTGCACTATTTTATTTATTTGTATAGGCTGTATATAACTTAAACTCACATTCTCTGTGTCTCCTCTGTATATATACATTTGTCCTAAACCATAGTGTGGTAGTACAAAGTTGGGTGGTGCAAACTGTGTTGCTTGATAATAGTACTGGAAGGCTTGGTCACAATCTCCTTGGGCATGAAACGCTCTTGCAAGGTGGTGACAACTCTCAGCACGCATAGCTTCGTTTTCAGTGTTGTGGAATGCATGTAAAGCGAGATGCTGTACCTTGCTGTAGTCCTGGCAAAAATATGTTACGATATAAGTGCATCATTTATGTCTGAATCTAAACCCACCAACTTATAATGTAAAGTCCATCATTTTATGGCAAAAGGTATTATTAAAATTAGGTGAAACAGTACAACACACTTATAAAGAAACCCTTTTAAACAACATCAAACTAGATAATTACATACTTTAGCTTCAATACAATTTCAAATTTAAAACATTTCGATACCTATAAAAAATATAATAAAAGGTTGCAAAAAACGAGCACCAACCTTTTTGAAGAAGAAATGGTTAGCTAAATGATTCAAAACCATAGGATTTTTAGGATCAATAGCATAAGCTTTTGACAACATAATCACAGCCATCTTGTTGGACTCATTTTCTTGCAAATTTAGCTTGAGGATAGATAAACCAACTAGAGCTCCAACGCACTGAGGGTCTAATTGAAGAGCTCTTTCAAAAGCCATTCTATAAAAAAAACACAGTTCTTTAGGCCACAAATTTATGGTATGGTGTTTAAAGGAGTAATCTACCATGTGTTTCCTAAACGACTTATATTAAATCTTTAACTGCACTTGCCCAGCCAAGTTATTGTGAATGGAATCTGGTAGTAACATCGGCACAGTTTAAACACAATGTGTGTTTATATACATACCAGAACCATTAAGTTGATTGAGATAATTTTAAGATGTTGTATCATAAAATCAGATGCAGTCTAAATTATAAGAGATATTATGTCTATGACTGGGCTATAAAGACTTTTGTGAGTCAAGAATGTCAAGAGCTTGATATGGACTGATCAAAATCTTGATACCGATTTTGATTGCAGCGGCATCTGAATTACTCGGACTAATTTAAATTCATTGTGTTGAGGCAACATTTCATATCTATATTATAAAGTTAATACTTCTGTACTAATACTTTGTATTCAAATCAATTACTGTGATTAGTTATTTGAAAAAAATCCTTACCTAGCCTTCTCCTGATTATTTAACTTCATAAAACAATGACCCATTCCAAGTCGTAAAGCTGCTGGGCTATCTGGGTTTGTTCTAAGAGCCTTCTTGTAGAAGGCCAAAGCACCTCTGTAATCTTTTCTATTAAAAGCAATACAGGCTTTGCCAAGCAACGATGGTACATTGTTAGGGGACTGGTTGAGTACAAAATTAAATTGAGCATCAGCTTGTTCCATTTTGTCACCTTCCAGGAGGCAGAAGTAGGCTCGGCCGAGTAGATGATTCTAAAAGTCATTTTTTTTTAAAGATGCACACGCAATAGAACTAAATTTATAAAGACATCAAACGCTAAACTAAAGGTGTAATAATTTTGTTAAAGTAAATTTTAAGTATTAGTAAATTTTCAATGCTTATTTTATAACTGTTATAAATTTATACAAAAAGGTTTTTAACTTACTTGATCATACATGATAATTTTATCAGCCATTGTGTAAAGAAGTGTTGCTTTGGTAAATAACTCTTTTTTCTTGTCCTTAGACTTTTCTTTATTAGCCTCCTGCACATAATATGCAGCCAGCATGTCAAGGGCCCGCATTTGGTCTCTTTCAAAGTCCCGGTAATCGATGTTGGCATCTGTGCGGGATGCCTCAAGTATTTTGAGGAAATCATCAATCTTCTTTTGTTTGTAATAAGCAAGCTAAAAATAGAGTAAGGAATGATAAATAGTAAATCCAATAACATGAAACACATAATATGTTCTTAAATAATCTACACTGAAGAATTAAAGTAGGTAATTAAATAATTATGTAATTATGGTGATTTTGTATAGTTATAACTATATAAAATATTATATGTAATATGTTGTATAAAGAATGCATTCTGCAGAATAGCATACAACAGATGCTTTTACATGTCTGCTTTATCTAAAAAGACAATGGAAAAAAAAAAACTGAATTTATTTAATTTTGCTTAGCGGTTTGGTTAAGATTTTGTTTGCTCGTCTAGTTAGATTCAACGTTTCTGGGCTCAGCACAGTATTATCACCGGCTATTACGACTATTGCTTTTCAACCAAATATAAGTAGTCCCTTTGACATTGTTATAACAGATTTTGACTATATTTATTTGTAATTCTTGTCTTTATTGTCAGAGATTATGCCACTTTTAGCAACTTTTCTATTTCTAAATAGTTTAGATTGAGTGGTATTTGTAATTTGGCCTTGTATTATATCTGGCCGAGGAAGGCACTATGGCACCAGATACATAGCTAGTATGTGTAAATATTATGAGTGAAAGTAAAAAAGGAACATATTAGAAAAGATTACCTTGGCTAATATGGCAACCAGTCACTGGTTAGTACATTAAATTCTTATACTAATAGTAACATGTTCTTAGGTTGTTTAGGTACCTTAGGTTATGTACCATTATCGTAAGTGATGCCAGCATATATTTTTAAATAAATTATAATATACTAGCTGACCCTGCAAACATTGTTTTGCTATTTACATTTTTTTTTTTTTTTAATTTCTTAAAATCCATTCTTAGCTGACCTCTACTCGGTGAAAAGAATATTCCTACCAAATTTCAAGTCTTTAGCTCTAATGGTTCCAGAGATATTGTGATGAGTGACTATATACATGGAAATCTCTTATATATATATAGATTTTTTAATAATATTTTTTAAATAAAGAAAGAAATATTATATATATAGATAATAAGAAACTAAAAGAATAAAAAAAAATAGCTTTCACAACCAATCAAAAGTTTATAACCACTTGTCAAAAATACATACTGCAAAATATATAAAATACTAGCCTGCGACTTCGTTCACACAGAATTTGAAAAGTGTCTTGGTAGGTTTGATTCCCAAACTGGGCAAAATTTTATTGGGTTTTCTGAGAGAAATATAGCCTAAGTTACTGCTTATATAGACAGCTATGGTAGTAAAATATTATCAAAATCGGTGCAGCCGTTTTGAAGATTACCCGGAACTAACAGACACAGACAAAAAATATTTAAACTGGGCATAGGTATTGTGCAAATAACCATGTGAGCATGGCAAATATCTATTATTTTGACATTACAAACAGACAGTTCAATTTTTGTTTGTATGGATTAACTTTAAATAAACAATAAAAAATGGTGGTAAAAATAACTATGATTTGCATTTGGAATCATGTACAAACTGTTTGGAGGTAAGGTAAAGTATATTGTTTCATGATAAAATTCAAAGAGAGTGGAGAAGTAAATTATGTGATTGCTTAATGTTATACTACAGTTGATGAAAACTTCCAGAGAGCCGACAAGCAAGATGATGTTCTAAACATATCTGATAAGAGTAGGTACTATTCCTATTAATAGAATAATACATTTCATACACAATACTTTAGCTGTGAGCTCCTGCTAATTTGTAGACTACCTATAACTAGTTAAAAGCACAACAAACGCATTTAGAAGTGTACTACGTGGTTAGCATAAACAAGTGTAGAGGTTAAGTTTACTTACTGCGACATTAATCCAAACATTGAGTTGGGATCGCTCCTGCTGCAATATACTAAGTACTTCATCTCCTGACGGCAACTGGTCCGGATCCAGCTCAATCACCTAAATATTTCAAAGAAAAAATATTACGACACTGACACTTTCCAAATTCACTAAATATTTTCACGCTGTTTACACAATTACCTCATCGGTGCTCATCAACGGTATTTCGAGCGACATATTGCAAAGTTTTTAACACTACATCACAAAATTCACTTAAGTCGTGGCGAAATTTGAAACAAAATAATATATCACTCTTAACTACTCAAGCAGCGGCACACAAAAAAAAAACCCAATAGTCCAACGGCATCCACAGACTGACAAATTGATGTTGACTGACTGACACTAAGTCATAGATAAATAAGTAATATATATAGTATATAATAGACATAAGCTAGGCCTCCCCAAGATTCAGAGAGATTCAGAGATATACTGCCGCATCTCTCTTCCTTGGCCCCATCATTTCAGAAATGCAATGTGCCACTTAAGTTTGGCGATTTCGGTAACCTTTTTTTTTTTTTTTTTTTTTTTTTTACGTGTGGAAATCCCCTCGGACCGTCACCCCTCCGGGGTTTGCGGCGGGGTGGTGTGTCGGACTCGGACCGACTAAAACCACACGGTGTGCCACTCTGCGCCTGTAACAGGAGGGATCCGGGAACAGCTGTTGTTAAGACATCCGGACCCCTCCTAGCGCCAGCCCGCTCCTGGTGCGGGCTCCGTCTCAATGTGGATGTTCCTCTCTTTAGGCGACGTCCGGCACACGCGGACGCCGCCCCCTCGCGGCTGGCCAACTAATGCGGGTGGAGGGGAAACCCACCCCGTCCACCCGCGGCCACACTCAGGGCGGCATGAGGCTGTGGTAGGCGGGCCTCCGCCGCCCGGTTCGCCGGCGGCGGATCGGGTCCGAGTGGAGGTCGTCCTCCCGGGCCCTTTCCGCCGCCTCCTTCCGCGAGATTACTACCTCGCAGAAGGTTGCGACCGCGGTAAAACAACTGTCGCTACCGGCCATGGAGCGTACTACGGCCGGTAGCGAGAGATCCACTCCGATGACTGCAGTGAGGGCCCGGCGCTGCGCCGCCCATGCGGGGCAGACCGCCAGCGTGTGCTGGGCCGAGTCCTCACTGCAGTCGCAGTGGTGGCAGGCGGGACTCAGTTCCCTCCTAGCGACCGTGTGCAGGTACTTTCCGAAGCAACCGTGCCCGGAAAGCACCTGCGTCAGTCGGAAGGAAAGGGTCCCGTGCTGCCGCCCTGCCCACTCGGCGATGACCGGCTGGAGAGCCTCCACGGCGGCGAAGCCAGCGCGTGGAGTCTCCAGCCGGAACGACCAACGAGCCATCGTGGCTCGGCGCGCGGCTTCGCGCCACTCGCGCACATCCTCGGGCGGAGGGCGAAATCCGCTCTCCGCCCGGTAGTCAGCCACTCGCCGATAAACTTCGGCGAGCACTTCCGCCTCCAAATCCCACGGGGGAGTTCCGGCCAACGCGCACGCCACATCCGTCGAAACGGTGCGGTAACCGCGTATGGCTCTGACCGCCATTACCCTCTGAGGGCGCCAGAGGCGTACCCTATTCTGGGCGGTCAGAGCCGCCGCCCACACCGGTGCACCGTACAGTGCCATTGACCGGACAACCCCCGTGTACAGCCGTCTTGTCGCGACGCTGGGTCCACCCATATTGGGCAAGAGTCGCCCTAGGGCAGACGCAGCGCCGACCAGCTTTGGAGCAAGCTGTCGGAAGTGCTCGTCGAAGAGCCACCTCCCGTCGAGGATCAGGCCCAGATATTTCATCTGGGCCCGAACCGGTACGAGGACCGAGTTGACCACGATTGAGGCGCCAGGGGGTGGACCACGACGGGGCCCATGGAATAACAGGGCCTCCGTCTTATCTAGGGCCACCCGTAAGCCCAGCGCCTCAATGCGCCCGACCACCAGGGAGACTCCCCCTGTGGCCAGGCGCGCTGCCTCTTGGAAGTTTGCCCCCCGGGCTGTCACGAGGGTATCGTCTGCGTAACAGATTACACCCAGCCCGGGGGGGAAATCGGCGCGAAGGGCCCAGTCGTACCCTATGTTCCACAAGAGGGGTCCAAGAACAGACCCCTGTGGAACACCGCACGACATGGGCCGACACCTCAGATTACCTTCTCGGTCCTCGTACACGACGGTACGCTCCTCTAAATAGTCTGCCACTAGCCGCCTCAGGTACTTTGGCACCCCATGATAGTGGAGTGCTTCCCTGATGCAGCTGAATGGCAGACTATTGAATGCGTTGGCGATGTCCAGTGACACCGCCAACAGCACGCCGCCACAGCTCACGGCCTCTTCGGTCACGGCCCTCAGGCGCAACACGGCGTCGACTGTCGAACGCCCCGCCCGAAAACCAAACTGGGCGTCCGACAGATCGGGGCCCACCTCGCAGAGGTGCCGGACGATGCGGGCAGAAAGAACCCTCTCAAACAATTTGCCCGCCTCGTCCAGCAGCGATTTCGGTAACCTTGGTCAATCTACGGATTTCCTCATTCCTGGTTCGATGAAGCAGAGAAACTCCGATTATTGCCCTCTTCATTGATCTTTGGGTGAATTTGAGCCTTCCTATGATGCCCATTGTGAACGACTATGTCTCTATGCCGTATGTTATCACCTGCAACACACGCTGGTTAAAAACGTTCGCCTTGAGACACTGCGGTATTCGGGACAAGAAAATGTCACCCTTTTTTTCACTCTTTTTCGAAGTTGGACAGGAAAGTACTGGTAACTGGATAGTTTGTAGTAGATAATTCCAGTCCAGAACCTTGAAGACGTCTTCCAATACCATGGTAAATAGTTTCAGAGATATTACATCTCCCTGCCTGACTCCTTGCTACAGTTGGATAGGTTTCGAGCTCTGATCCTTTATGTATATATATATATATATTATATTATATTATTATTAATGTACTGATGGTCGATTTGGCTGGAGAAACTGTAGTAGACCAAGTTTCAATCGAATAAAAAAAAAAATTCTCAGTGTCTACAAACGCCAAGCATAGTGCACAGATTTAAAGCATACTATGAGCAACAGTTGACCGCCCCTCCCCCCTCAGCAATAGAGCAAGTTGTCAGATTGTAGTATTAACGAGTCCTCTCCCTCTCTACAGAATTCAGATATTCCCAAAAGATTTTAGCTCAGCCTGAAGGTCGTTTCTGGTAATAAAAATTGTTCAAATTTCAGTTCCGATCTCCTCTTGGTCTCACAAATGTCATAAGAGGTATTACTTAAAGTAAAGTTTTACTGAGCCTAGAAAAATAACTATTCAAGTCGTACTCACTTTGAAATTTTCGCGTTCCATACCTATTTTGAGTGTAAACTGCGTCTCGGCAAATGTAGTGAAGGTGGAGTGACGATTTGCGCAAGATGGCTGGCAGAAGCTGGATGCGAGAAGCCCAAAATCGATCTAAATAGCGTGCAATGGTAGAGACCTATGTATAGCAGTGGACTGCGATAGGCTGATGATGATGATGATGATACCTATTTTATAATTTTCTTTACACAGGCTGACTGGGACCACAAGCAGTGTAACCCGGTCGAAATGTGTCAGTGGCACCCCTCTAACGTGGGTGACTAAATTTTAGTACTTGGGTCATTGGGTCACTGATGATCTTAAGGATAATGTAGATGTAGAGAGGGAGCGCAAGTCGCTGGCTGTTCGATGTAACATGCTGGTTCGAAGATTTGCACGCTGCACAAATCAAGTAAAGGTTACGCTTTTTAAAGCATTCTGACAGTCCTTTTACATGTGCAGTCTTTGGACCAGTTTTATGCAGAGGACATACAGCGACCTGCGCGTCCGATATAATAATGCGTTCAGGCTGCTGTTGGGGCTGTCGTGGCGTTGTAATCCGCCTGGTATGTTTGCGGAGTCGCACATAGGCGACTTTTACGCAATTTTAAGAAAGAGGACCGCATCCATGGCCGGCCGGTTGCGCACCGCTACTACCAGTATCTTGAAGGTGTTTACGGATCGGTGGGACTCCCCTTTGTTGCGCCACTGGGCAAAGATCCACACCAGTCACCATAATAATTTATTGTATTTACTAAATTTAGTCCTTAAGGTTCTTTGTTTGTACTAACCCTATGGACTATGTCTGAAATAAACTATTTGAATTTGAATTTTCTTAGCTGGTGTGTGGATAGGGGTTCAGGTTATAAATTCTAAGAAATTGAACACATTCACCAGTGAAAACAACGAAACACAGTGCGACTTCAAAAAGGAAGAGATTCTTTATTGTTTTTTGTATGTTTTTGCTTCACGAAATCTTTACTTGTTGGTGTACTATTTTACCTATAATTGTAAAAAAATAAGAATAAGAAATACAGCTTTATAGATTTTTTCATAATTTAAGGATAGAACACTAAAAGTGAGTGATTTGCAGGATTTTTTGGCAGAAAAACACTCATTTAAATGATTAGGAATCTTCAGAATATATTATTATTTTATAAAACTAACGATAAATGATAATAATAAGAAACAAAATTGGCGAAGAAGGCAAAAAGTCTTTTTATTTTTTTCAAAGTGTTGTGTGATAAACATTTAATTAAACGTCGTTTATTTTTTTTACAAATTATCTCTAATGGCAATTCTTTTGGCTATCTGAAAAATGAAAATGTCAAACGATTGTTTGGGTTTTGTTTACTATCGGATCACATCTGGGAACACTAAATATTACCTGCGCAGATTGACAGATTCCTGCTGCATTTTATTGATCGGCGTTTCGTCATTATAAAAGTATTATAATTAATTATTTTATTAAATGAATTGTATTCATCTAGTTACAGTGAAACATGCTGTAATTTTAAATTTTAATGACACAACTAAGTCCTAATTATTATCTAAACTAAAATGGAACCAAGTAACAACGAGGGCAAAAGAATAACTTATAAAAGAGCCAGACCAAACCCTCTGTTTCAAGAATGGCTAGAGGAGCTATACGAAGAGGCAAAGGAAAAGAAGAGCAAGTTAGAATCAATGTTGAAGGAAGCGCTAGGCTCACTGTCAAAATATCCTTTGCCGCTTAAATCGGGCGCTGAATGTGCTATTTTAAAAGGCTTTGGAAAGAAACTTTGTGCTCATTTAGATCAGCGATTAGAAGTATATAGGTATAATTTAGCTTTGGTTCAGTCTTTCGAGACAGGCAGTGGCACCAGTTCTGAATCAAGTGGCAGGAACAGTAACTGTAGCTCACCTTTGTCTGATATTATAAATGTTGAACGCAGAGTTAAGCAATATAAGCTATCGCATAACACTTCTACAGAAGCAGGTATTAGTAATTGTAAGCTTTTGCAGAACACTTCCACCGAAGCCAGTATTAGTAATAGGTCACCAATAAAAAATCATAATGTGGTAATTGATGGTGACAGTAATGTACAAAGCACTCTTAGTACTAATACAGATAGAAGTTCTGAATCTCAGAAACCCTTAACTCAAAAGAACAAACATCAGGCTAAGGCCAAAAAATATAAGCCTGCTCATAGGTCAGGAGCATATGCAATATTAATAGCCTTACTTGAACATTGTAAAGAAAATCCAAGTGAAAACTCACTAACTAAAGAGGAGTTAATAAATAAAGCTCAAAAACATTCTGAAGAATCCTTTTTAAGGCCTAAACCAAATTGTTTTTACACAGCATGGTCTAATATGTCTAGGCTAGTAAATAAGGGTCTTATTACACAGATTAGACATAAAAAAGTGAGATATTTACTGTCCAGAGAAGGTACAGAGCTTGCTGAAGAACTTTTAGAAGATACCAGAAATACTCCTACAGTCAATGACATTATATTTAATAGTGTACCATCAACAAGTACTGTTAGAAGCGAAGACATCCATGGAAATGAAGCTATGCCTACATCATCAGAGAATAATAACATTTCAGCCATAGTATTGTTACCTTTTACATTCGATATTATATTACTTATTGACAAAAATGAAACAGGCGGGTATGTGTTTTTTTTTTAAAGTTACTTCTTTCAATTTAAACTCTTTCTAGACAGACTTTACAAACGCTGATGCTTTCCTGTGCCTATTAGCCTATCATTAAATGTTGCAGCAGATGCTATTTTTTGTGCAAGCAGGCTGCAATTCTATCCCTTACCACAGTAATAAATTAATCTGGCAGCCCCCAGGGGAAAATTATTAACAAGTATTTTGTAGGTCATGTAAAAATATTCCTTATTTACAGGACATCAAAAAAAAATGACCCAACAGTGGCTCAATTCAACAAGTATCCTGACTTGAAACATGAGTATAGAAGCTTGAAAGTTGGTGACTATGCCTGGATAGCTAGACACAAAGTAAATAAGGAGCAAGAACTAGTCCTCCCACTAATTGTAGAAAGAAAAAGGATGGATGATCTTGGAGCAAGTATCAAAGATGGCAGATTTCATGAGCAGAAGTTCCGTTTAAGAAAGTGTGGCTTGAAAAGTGTTGTGTATATGGTTGAAAACTATGGGATTAACAAGAATGTTGGTTTACCTATACAGAACTTGATGCAAGCTCTAGCAAACACAAGAGTTCAGGATGATTTTCAAGTTCACATTACACATTCATTGACTGATTCTGCTAAATTTTTAACTATGATGACCAACAGACTTGCTGCCAGATATCAGGTAATCATTCTAAAGCAGATACAATTAACATCAGATATAATCAAAAGCCACTGACTAGCTTTGTTCACCTAAATGAATCTATTCTATAAATTAAATTAACAAGTAACAAAAGGGGTCAATAATGAAAAACTATGATTTTTAAACATTTCTGTGTCAATTTTCAGGATAGAAGTCTCAAAGGCTGCAGTAGTGAAGCAACAGAAGGATATCTAATGACATTTGAATACTTCAACAAAGCATCAGCAAAAACGAAACCATTGACAGTCACAGAGACATTCATCAAACTATTGCTGCAACTAAAGGGAGTGTCTGTAGAGAAAGCTTTAGCGATTACATCCAAGTTTAATACTCCCAGGTCTTTGATTATACAATATCAAAAATGTGATCGTAATGAAGGAGAATTCCTATTAGCTAACATTAAATATGGAAATTCAGGTCGCAATGTAGGGCCTTCAGTGAGTAAATCTATTTATCTATTGTTTTCTAAAATAGGAGAGTAGGATGTGAGATGGAAATATTTATTGTCTGTAACTTATAAACTTAACTATTAACTTAATGTATAATATTTATTGTCTCCAAAAAAATTTTTTATAACTTATTATATGCAGCAGTAGTTATATTTATATGTATTGATGTGAAGTGTAATGAATACAAAAGTGTGCAGGGCAAATTTATTTATAAAATAATAAATGAAAATGGAGAATGTCTGTTAAACATATGTGTTAAGATGAACTTAGTGTAGCCAACACCTAACTCAGAATAAATGCTGTCTACACAGACTGGTTTAATATTTTTAAGAGTGTCAGGCGAGGCTGTGTAGCATCTCCGTGGTTATTTAAATTATACAAGAATAGCTATTTATCTTTACCGAAAGAGTATGAATGTGATTTGAGAATGGGTTGCGTAAAATATCAGATACCTCATATATGCAGATGATCAAGTCTTACTTGCATCTTCAGCTAAAGAGTTGCAGGGCGTGATAACAATAATTAATTATGAGCCTGATGCGAAAAGTATGAAAGTAAAATATAAGATTTACCAAAATCCTTTACAAAGACATTGAGAGAAGAGTCTAAAAAGAAAATGAATGCACGGATGGCGTAGTGGCTTAAGCGGTTGGCATTCCGCTTCCTATTACACCGAGTGTTGTGGGTTCAAACCCCACACGGGACGACACTTTGTGTAATCCACAAATTGTTGTTCTGAGTCGGGGTGTTCTTTGTGCCCGTTTCATGTATGTTTGTAAAGTCCCCCGCGACACAGGATCTATTCCGAATGCGGGCGTTATCTTTTTTAAACGAAAAACGAAGAAACGAAAATTCAGTATGTCCATAATTGTCAGGTTTTTAGCAAAATGCGCCTTGTCTCTGCCTACCCCAGACGAGAATGAAGCGTGACTATAAATTTGGTAAAATTCTAGTCAGTTATCAGTCGTTTTTTATTTCTTTGTGAGGTATTTGGATATACAGTTATTAATTAGTTACTGATAGAATTTTAAAATAATACTAGGTGCCATGGACGTATAAAAAAAGTCGGATGGAATTCCCGCTAAGACAAAACTGAGGCACCGTAATGGCGGCAGCTCTTTGTGTGTGAATGAATTTTGGAGTTGCCAAGTTACCCAAATTTATGGGCTAAAAACTTAGTCAATTAATAAAAATATTTTATTTGTTCGAAATTCTACTGTTTAATATCCCAAATGCTCAGTATTTTTTTTATAATAATGTCAACTAGCTGACCCGCGCAACTTCGTCTGCGTCTCTCAATAGTAATAAATTTTCTCCGTTTTTGAAACATTCTTCATTGGTGCTCCGCTCCTATTGGTCTTAGCGTGATGATATATAGCCTATATATAGCCTTCCTCGATAAATGGGCTATCTAACACTAAAAGAATTTTTCAAATCGGACCAGTAGTTCCTGAGATTAGCGCGTTCAAACAAACAAACAAACAAACATACAAACAAACTCTTCAGCTTTATAATATTAGTATAGATTACTTTGAGAGGTTCTTGAAAATTCCACTGATTTCGAGATGTGGTGAAATTGAATCTTTAAATATTTTTCCGCTATATGTTTAATAAGACTTATTTTATGTACCATTCCGACGAAAGTATGTTCAGATTCAGTTTCAGTTTAAAAAATGATTTCATTGCCAACATACTTTTCTAGAACTTTTGTGAGAAATATTTGTGTTGTCTTTATTATCATCATTACAATTTCTCTAATCATTTCCCCTATCCATTTTCCTTAGAAAATTTAGTAAAAGAATATGAAATAGTATACCTAGTAGCAACAATTAAATAAAAAACCTTAATAAATTGATTTTAAAAACAAACCAAAAATTTCCTTTGTTTCGGTTAATTTGCATACGTGAAAATTGGCAACACTGGGATTAATTTGAATTTTTAATTCTAATGTATAAAATCTGGAAATAAGTGATTAAATTATTCATTTACCTATGAAACGTGATTCCTGGATTATTTTTCTTCGGTCAGTACGGTCAGCATTTCACTACGCAAAACATGTTGTATATTTATATGTTTTTGCCGCGTAATGCGTCTCGCTGTCTTGATGTTTGCGACCGTAATGGCTGATTAATGTGTAAAGTGTGCGTAGCGGCCTGTGCGTACAGCGAGCTATGATGAGTGACAGTCTTTTTTTAGCGAGACTGTCCGAATTTTTTTATACGTCCATGCTAGGTGCCCTTTTAAAATATATATATACATATATTATGTTATTAACTTGTTAAAATTATTTTTTATGTTAGACGATTCTTAAATATTTACTAGTCTCGAAGATGTTTGTCACAAATTGAGAATGAACATGTCATAAGTCTTAACGCATGCCAAAGGGTTATAAAAAGAAGCATGATGACCCTGAATTTTACTGACAGCTCTCTAGTCTGAGAAAATAAACTACTATGGAGAAGATTAAGAAGTTTAAGATGAAATAGATTCGACATAATATGATGAGAACAAAGACAAAAAAGTTAACCAAAATTATCACGGAGGTGGTGGCCAATAGCTAAGGAACAGGAATTTAAATGTTGTAAGGAATTAGAGGATGATAAGGGGTGGAGAAGCTTTGCACTAGATAGAAATAAATGGAGGGAACAAACCGAATAAACAAGGTGGCCTATTTCGGCAGACAACTTGACGATTTAGATATTATTAACTTGAATGTAATGTGTTTATAATAAGATCACATATAATATACAAAATCCTATATGATCTCAGTCATAGATTTTAGCCAAATGTTAGGTTTAGGTTAAGTACGAAGTATAAATTAACATTAATACAATATTCAGACTTTACACCCTATAATTAATTTATTGACTAAGTAGGTAGCTTAAAGTTTTAATAACCTCTGTTGGATATTGAAACTTTACGTAAAGAAAAACTTCATATTAACAATACTTTTAGTTCTTACAGTATCATTTAGTTTTCTCGTTCCAGATTTAAAAAAAAAAAAACAATAAATCGCAGTTGTCATGTGTGTTACTTGAGTATCCAGTGATTTAGCGTCATATATGTTAATTTAGTTAGACGTTTAATAGAAATAAGCAACTGTAGTAATGCGTATTTAGTAATTAAGCGTCTCATACATAATTTTGTTAGAGATCTAATCTAAGTGTGGTAATTATTGTATTTAATTTTGGCACCCAAATGATTGGACAATGTATGAATATTGTTTTATATTAGACTTTTAAATGTGATTATAAATAATATTTATATGAAATAAAAATCAATTATTGTATGTATACCTTTATTTAACATAACCATTGACAGACATGAGTAGTTAGCAGTATTACCTTTCAGAGAATATTCTTAGTGGTATGTAAACCTTTCGAATAACTATCCCATAAACAGATTTAAGAGCACTTTAGGATGGAATCAGCTTTCCCCAGTTTACAAATAGCGTGCTAAAATCACAAAAACAAAATATACAGAATTGGTATAACATCCACAAGGACCAATCACTTGAGACATTATAAGCTTTGCTAACTTGCCACACACCCACTTAAGAGGTAAATTAATCATAACAAATAAACCGCGATCATCGATAACACACTATAAAACAGTTGTTATTCAACAATTTTGTTCAAAACGAATTGAACAAATACACAAATTGACAGCAAAACAAACAAAAGTATAAGAAAGTAGTAGACTAGTTAAGAGTTCTGTTTTTGAGTGGATCTAACTAATCAACCTCTTTTAGACGAAGCGAATGTAACTATAACGTGCTGATAGCAGGTGATAAAATGTGATTGATTCCTGTGGTTTGATTATGTGATTTGGCACAAAGAAGTTCGTGATATTCTTTTCCGAGATTCTCAATCGTGAAGTTATTTGAGTTTAGAATATTCTGATTTTAGTACATGAGATTCGATAAACTTGGTTATGCCAAATCAATATAGGTACTACTTTAGACCCTTATTTTCATCATCACATTGCGTTTCCTTATAGTAACACTTAACATTAATAAATATACTTATCTATATCTTTGAAATAGTGTGTATGAAGCTTCATACAGAAATATCAATTTGACAAAATGAAGTGTTCAACATTGAAACCCGAAACATGGCACAGTTCACAAATAGAACATCAACATTACAACAACATTGCACTCAGAGATGGAATATAAAACATCAGTAACTGTTTCGGCTTTAAATAATTTCGAATTTCTATAATAATAAATTTACCAAATTTACAAATAACAAATATTACGAATAACAACTGTTAATAATAAAAAAATTAAAATGAAATTATAGATACATGCTTACGTAATATCTACTTAATATAAAGCATGCAATAGAAAAATAAATGCCAAAACATCTACTAGTAATTACAAACTTACACTACGTAGATAAAGAGAACAAAATTCGACTTCTAAAATTAGTTCTAATTAATGACCAACCACCTAATATAATTCGGACAAACTATAAAGTATTACAATTTTTCTATACGAGATTCCTGCTCTAGTTGAGATTACTAGATGAGCAATATATATTTGCAAGAGGCTTCAGCATATATTACACCTAGGTATTGGTCAAGTTACAACTTATATTTAAAACATCTAATAGGCTATCCTCAAACTTAAACTCCATATAGATTTACGCTTTCCTGTATTTTAATTATAGTGCACATAAATATTTTAATCATATAAAACAATCAAAATCTCCTCTTTATAAAATAATTCTTAATTTTAATTAGGTGCACTTATAGAGAAGAAGTGAACTTAAATTATCTAGAGAGTGTGGTAGTTCCTTTCCGTTTGGTTCTTGTAGTATTTGAATCCCATAAAGCCTACTGCAAGGAGACCCAGGGTCAATATGATGCCGCCGATGAAACTTGCGCCATCGAATCTATAACGAAATAGTGCTTGGTTAGACCTAGGACGATGCCGAGTGTACCTTCAAAGGAACCATGCTTTTCAGGCACATAATATGTGGTACTATGTATGTGATTTTAGTCGGTACGATTCCTACACTCCGCCCCACCGCAAATCCACAGTTACCAAAAAAGACCTATTTATTAATTCGAAGTAATATTTATTAGTACTCAAGCCCGTATATTTCGTAATTCTCGAATAGATTAAGTAATAAAAAGTAGCTCCGCGCAGTAAGAATTTACACGAAAGTGAAAGTGTAATAAAAATGTTATTGCTTTCCTGTGTTGTGATTGAATCAACACATTTAAAATCCATTAAACACTTATGTCACGGTTTACTTTGTAGGTTGAAATAATCATGCTCATTGACTTCATAGTATCATTGCTTACGGGTACACCCTAGTTTTATTTATAATTGTAGAAAATATCATTATTTATCATAATCATAATTAAAGTCAGTGACACTTTGTTAAATAGATAAATATATGTATTTTACCGAAAATCGCAAAGAAATTCCTGACTTGCAAAAAAAAAATTACAGACGTAGTTACTTACGATCTGGATGATGCCTGCAAAACTTTAGGTGCAACAGTAGATGCTTCAATCTTTTCTGTTGGTTTATTGCTTTTGTCGTCTGGTTTAGTGTCATCCTTTTTGGGTTCTGTAGATTGGGTAGAAGTTGGGGTAGATGCTGGGGGTGTGGTAGGATTAGCTGCCGGAGTTGCATCAGTTTTATTCTTTACTGGTTCTATTGTTGATGTGGGGACATCTGTCGTTTTGGTTTCATTTTTTTCAGTTTTGTTATTACTTGCATCTGTGCTCTCATTTTTTGGATTAGTTGGTGTTACAGTAGTCGTAGCAGAATCCTTAGCAGCATCTTTCTCATGTACTGGGGGTACTGGTGCCTGCTCTTTTGGCTTGGAATCTGCCTCTTTTTTAGATTCTGGTGGAGAGGATTCCACTATGGGGACTGGTGGTGTATGTTTAGCAGTTGGTGCATCTGAAATTTAGACACTTAATTTTAACTTAAAATAGGGCATACAAAATCAGTTTTTTTTTCTAATAATAAATAATATTAATAGTTTATTAGGCAACTAGGCCCAATTAAATGCTGGTTGTTATTGTGCCAAATTGATTTACAAAATTAACATTAACAGCTACAGGCAAAGGCAAGTACCTTATAATTACAATAGGCTTAAGTTGAATCTGATTAACCATCCCTAAAAAGCATGCACAACAATTTAATTTTCTACACTTCCTTGAGTTAAATAATATAATTAAGTGTCAATTAAAAAAATTAAGTAGGTATATAGGTATAAGTACATAATATATATATTAATTTAGTTTTTAATAGGCATCTATTTTAAAATCAATATTATACAATTGATTTTGAAGTTCCTTGATTCGTTTACCTTGGTATTTTTAGATATGTAAGGGCACGTCGTATTTAAATCGACAACGTATGGCGTTCAATTTGCATCAAATCTTTTTTTTCGTATGATTTTTTTTAGTCCTATATGGAACCCATATAGTCCCAGGATTTTTCGAAAAGAAACGACTGGTCTCACTGTGCTCCTTACTCTTTGTAAAGTACTAAATAATGTGTCACAGCGATAAGAGCAATGAAGCTCTCATCATTGGGTAATTATCCATTCCAACCAAAAGTTTTTTAGAAATGTAACTCAAAGTTGGAAGAAAAAATAATATTGTTTAAACTTTAAAAATAACTTCTTTCTCTAAAAAAAATCATAAAAAAAACCCAAATGATTCTAGAAAAGGTCTGACTAGTGTTCTGTGATTTTGTGAAAATCTTTTATTTTCGAAGCATACATAGTTTTAATATATTGCTTCACATAAAGTAACTATAAATAATCATAATGTCTCAACATAAAATACTTAGAATTCATTGATTACCAATAGACATTACTTAATACTCTTAAAGTGCAAATACTCTAATTAACATAAAAGTATAATTTCAATGGCTTTTTTGGTGTTTAGTCTTCTATAAAACCCAGTACACACACACCAGTATTTCTTCAATAAAAGCAAATCTTAATGTTTTGTTTTAATGCTAAAAGGTCTGAAGTGGACATAATCATAATAACATAGTGTAACCATAGTGACTAAACAAATAGAAATAAGAACTTGAGAGATATCGACTTAAATGTTTGCTCCTTATTATTTTATTATAATATACTAGCTGACCTGGCAAACATTGTTTTGCCATATACATTATTTAAAAAGAAATTGTCAAAATAAAATAGGGGAAAAATAGATGTTGGCCGATTCTCAGACCTACCCGATATGAACACAAAATTTCACGAAAATCGGTGGAGCCGTTTCCGAGGAGTTCAACCACGCACACAGTGACATGAGAATTTTATATAATAGATGATAATACTATAAGACCAAATCCCATATATATGGCATTTGGTCTTACAGTATTATTATAGAAAAATTCTTAAATTGATAATAATTAATAGAAAGCTGATGATTTTTATTGACTGAGTATACACATTAAATATTATTATGTCATGTTTCATGTGTTCACAGTCAACACAGGTAAACGCAGTCCACAAAAATTTCATCATACACACACTGTCATCGGAACGTAATCAGACAGAGCTTGTGTTATGGTAACCAGACTGCTGATAATCATGATTTTGAACTTCTAAATATATATATTTTAGATAATAATTATATTAAATAAAGATAAATTAGACACAGACATTCAGAACAAATGATAATGCTCATCACACAATTATTTGTCTTGGCTGGGAATTGAGATTTAGCCAGTTTATAGAATAAAATCTTGTTAATGTTGTTATTGATGATGCATACATGATTGTTACATCTATAATTTATTATTAATGTTCAAACTACAAACATTATGAGTTTTCACATAACTAAATGTTTAACATTTGTAGAACACTTCTGATCATTAGACTTCTTGAGCTAGACACTATCCAGTTTTTTTTTAAATTATTTATGGCCTGTATTGTAACTGCTGTTAAATATTGTATGTGGAGCAGTGCATTGAAAATATCAGAATTATAAGTGTAACATATATGTATATGGTTGTTTTGTTATTCTCTATACAGATAAACCGATTGTGACTTGACTTGATTGAGACCGCTATTAACTATAATTGAAGAAAACCTGTTCGGCTACATGATCATTGGCTTTTTTCTAATATTTAACATCTTCCCTACAGCAAACACATCATACACGTGGTTTGTTTATAAAATCTTATTTCAGTACTAATAAAACACATGGATATTTTTTCTATTCACAACTAAAGCTACAAAGATGTGTTCATTTTAGAAGTTGTGGATAGAAAAAAATATCTGTGTTTTTGATCACTTGATTTTTTTTATAAACATAGATGAAATGTTTTGGTGGTGAAGGTGTTAAAGGGTTTTTGTGTTGGGGTGTTTTTAATGTACACTTGTTAAGTAGAATAACTTTAAAATCAGAATACAGTTATAAGTCACTGTTAAGTGATCTCTCATGCAGTATTCATGAATAGATTCAAGATTTTTTGTGAATTTTAATGAACAAACTTTATGAAAGTGTAGTAGTGAATAATATTTTTCTTAAAGAAAAGGTGAAGTAAAATTTAATCTACATTACTGTTTACTTTACTTGCCAATTGAGGTCATTCGATTATATTGATACACATTGTGAAATACCATACACTGGTTTTAAGAGTATGAATCAGGGCAGAGTTGGCAGATTTTTTAATCAGATATAGTGGTAATTGAATTTATTGAGTTCAATAACCAGTCATCGCTGTTATTGAATTAAGTGACCTGTTATAGGAACTGTATTGCAGCGTCATAAAAAAAACAGTTAACAACAAATTCCTTAAATACCTATTTTTTGACCTTGGTGCAACACAGAATCATTTTGCCTATGGTATTATTAAGAGCTTTATTAAATGTATTGAGTAACAATTTTAGCTCCTAAATCATAATTCTTTACACCCAACGTCATATACTACGTATCGTTTAACCTGAGAAGAAAACTCTTGAGACGCATTAAACACGCCAGATTGATCTGATATTTACTTACCTTCTTTATTTGGGAGACTGAAGCACACCGAAAGTGATAACAAACAAATAAATATTATACCCTTCATGTTTGAATATTGCTAATTAATCAGTCAATTAGAATATTTATCTAAATTTCTAATACTACGCTTCGACTTATTGCCGACAAGAGAAAAAACGATTTCTTCGTATTAAAAAAGTAGTGATGTACCAGTAGACTACAAATGATTAGTCGATTTTTAACTTGATTTCATTTTTATATCGAAGTAATTGTTCGATTTTATGTTGACTTTTTTATCAAAATAAAGGACCGCCATAGAAATGTAAAAAAACCAGTATAAGTTTTAAATCACAATGACCCCCACGGTCTTATCATGTTGCAAAAAAAATGATATCAAAAGTAGATTATCTTATTGCGCTCACCACACAATGGGGGAGAGGCCCCTAGGGCACTGAAACAAGTTGTTGTTAATGCACTCAATAACGTGGGTAAGTTTTATCAAACCTGAGAATTCTGGAGGAAACTGAACTGTTTGGCTTCTCGATGGCCTCGAGATGTCTATATCCTTTCATTACTTTATTCATCTTTACACCTTTTTTTTTTCATATCTCAATCAGCGCTTTTAGTCCTTTGTTCCCAGGAATAATCTCTGTCTCTCCTCTTCTTCTTTTCTCCTTTTCTTGTGTTACGTACGATGGAGGGACTCCTCCAGTTAAAGTTTGAAGTTGCCTCCATCGATTAGTTTATTTAGAAGATTGTTTACATCTAATAACATTATTGTTCATGAACAGTATCCGATATATTCAAATACTTAAATACTTTTATTTGATAAATAATAATACTATCGCGTGATGCATCCTCTTTAAATACACAGTATAAATATTCCGTAATTTACACAGTGTAAATATTTTTTGTATGTTCAGTAGGTACTTAGAAAACTTTATAATGGAAGTGGCACATGAATTTTATTGGCAAGGGTAATAAAATGAAAGTATCTGAAGTCAAAATTACCCACTTATTTGGCCTGATTTGACAGGCCGGGTCAAGGTCCTATATATGGTAATGTAACGAACCGCCCATAGCTCATACATCAATTGTTCACGACATAAATCATCCTGAAAACTTACATGATTGACAAGATTGTTTTTAGCATGTACAGATTGAACGATAAACGACAAATGATATCTCTTTTGTATTTTAATTTAATTGACATTTTGTTAGTAATTGTGTAGCTTAGTTATAAACACGCACTAACATATATGAGTATGTAGTGCGTGTGTGAATGGTTATTTTTATTGCATTTTTTTAAAAGATTCCATCCAATGTTATGCAGAACTTTGCATTATGATAATAGTTTATCTGTTAAACTAATCATCACTCAGACAGATAATAAACGCTCGCTGTTTTTTTTTAAATATTGATTAGTAAAAATTAAGTGCCAGAATGTGTAGAAAAGGAAACTAAAAATTTTGACATTTAAATATGTTGTTAAAGAAAAGCTAAACTTGCTCTATTGATGGTATGTAATATGGTAGGTAATGCTCAAACTTGTCTAATAATGTACATATTTTCTAAGCAATGACAAATTGAGGTTCGTCCCAAGTAATACCCTTTTATTAAGATCTAGGGCGACGGCGACTTTTCTTAATGTGAAGGCTATTTATATTCAGTCTGTTTTTTTAGAACGTGGACTTATTTTTATTTTTGGAAGTGTACTTAGGTAATGTTTTCTATAAACATTACCTAAGTTCACCTTTACGAATTTTGGTATTTGTATACAATAGCGTATAAAAGAACCATCTACTTACCTATACACTTTTTTTTTTTACTCCCACACTAGAAATATACCTTGTGTGGCGGGGGACTTTGCAAACATTGGCACAAAGTGTTGTCCCATGTGGCGATCTAACCCACAACACTCAGCGCAGTAGGAAGCTGCAAGGTGTCCCTCTATAGATTGTTTGATTAATCGTCAAAGGCGCAAAGACAAAACTGTGCAATGTTCAAAGCTGTATAGTTTCGCCACCTCCGATAGGCGTTGAACCGTCTTACCCAAGATGAGTCTCGTCATGCGTTGCGTCTGTCACCCTTCGGTTGATGTCCTCTAGAAGCGCTCACGGAACACTGTGCGCTGCCTCTGAGGCCGGTATCTGTTTGGACGACGAATTCCCCAAAGGCCTGCAGGTCACTTCCTAAAGTCGCTGGTCCTAAGGTCCTAAGGATCTATGAATGCCCTGAGGCGCGAATAGCATTCACTCACTTGAGTAGCCAGTGTAAATTGGTAAACAGAAAACTGGCCCCCGTAAAGCATAAGCACTCGTCGGGAGAGACCTATGTCCAGCGTTCTACAAGAATAGGCTGATAGAGCTTGAACTAGAACTACCTGAGTTAACAAATTATTTGGAAATATTTGATGATAATCATTTCTCATTGCTGTCTTACGCCATCTTTTAAAGTTTTCTTTTAAATGATTTTGTACCATGTATTCGACCAAATTATATTTCAGCGAGTGCGCAATTTTCAGTGAAGATGAATTCATTGACTCCACTCCACTCATTGAATTTATCGATTTAAATATTATACCCACTCTTATCTCTTACACTCCAATGCACTGAAAGTGAGGTTTTGATTTTTCGGGATTTTATTTAAAAGCTTTACGTCTTTAAGCTTTAGTGTAAATGTTTGTAGTAATGATTATAGATCAATAATTGGCGGGCCTGCTGGTCTAGTGGTTAGTCCCCCTGACTGCTAAGCCGGAGGTCGTGGGTTCGATTCCCACCCAGGGCAAATATTGCACGTGTATAACGTGCACGTGTATACATGTGACAAGCATGGTCATTTGTTCTGTGTCTGGGTGTAATTTATCTATAATATGTATGTATTTCAAAATATATCAGTATGTTTATCAGCAGTCTGGTTCCCATAGCACAGGCTCTGCCTAGGTTGGGATGAGATGTGTGAAGTTATTATTATTATTAAGTTATTCTTGGCAAAATAATGAACAATGACAACAACCGAAATTAAACGTACCTTAATATTGAGATTCAATTTATTCTCTTGTGGCCACTCTCACTCCATATGAAGAAACAGAAACGTACTACAGCGCCATCTAACGAAGACACACCGAACTACAGAGTAACCACTGAATGAGAATTTCTAATTCTGTATCACGATATGAAGAATTCTCTCGCCGATTAGCATATATATGTACAACTTTAACCGTTGGGCCTCGGCCCGCCAGGCATGATCACCTCGCCTGGTCGGAGGATCCTCCCTTTGTGTGGAGGGACATGACACCCGTTCCTCCACACTCTAAATACACGGTATAAAATTATGTAAGTGGTAACAGAGTTGCTGTGCTACCGTGATTGTAGATTGATTGGCACTGTAATATTTATAATTTTTTCAGTTGATCTCAATTCAAATTGACTTAAAGAAGACTTAAACGAATACAATTAGTTAACAAAATATGAGGGGTTCTGTGCTGCAACTTTAAGTTTCCTACGAAATTTCATGGCATGTTTTTGTTCATATGTGGAAGACACACGCTGCGGCACCTTTGCTTTTTTGTAGAAGAAACACCATCATCAACAGCATTTAGTAGTCCACTTGGTGGAAGTAGGCCCCTGCCTAGTGAGGAGGATTTGGCCTACTATACCACGTTGGCCAAACTGGTATATCTTTGCAGTGCTGTTGTGCTGCCACCAACGTGATGAATTAGGGATTAACACTCCGTATTTGTAATCTGTCACCACACAGAAAAAACATTATTATAGCGAGTTTCTTTAGAAACTTCATTCATTTTTTAATAAACATATATTTTTGTTTTGAGCCGCAGCTCATAATAAAATTAGATAGTTATTATAAAAATATAAGCTGAAATTTCACCTTAAAATATTATATTAGTTTGGGAGACCACAGCTTTATGAGACTTTTTGAGGCTTTCTCTCTTTTTCAGATGATTTCTTGGCTCAATGTAATGGCGGCTGTTATGTCTCAAATCTGAACAAAGGCGCAACTTACATTATAATACCTAATTGCCACTATAGAGCCGCTCTACACGTTACAGTTTTAATGAGGTTAATTAGAGGCACAGCGAGCGGTAGTACCTACCAGTTCCTAGACTCGTCGTCCGCGCTTTGACTGGCAGCCAAGTGACTTGACAAGTACATACAGTGAAACCTGGTTAAGTGAGACATCAAGGACCTGCAAATTTATTTCAGTTATAGAGGTATTCCACTTACCTAGAGTCTCAGATATCCAGGTATAAATAAATATCTGTTTCATTTACAGAGGGTTCCATTAGTAGTGGCCAGAATACAGGTTATTTCAGTTATAGAGGTGGGATTGTTAAATAAACAACGTATTATGTAAAGATTTTACGTGAGTTTTAACCTTTCTTGGTAATCAAAAGGTAATAAATTTAATAAACAAAAATATTCAAGCGTTTTTTATATAAATAGTAAATAGTACAAAAATCTATACAGAATGAATCAATTATGAAAATCTGTCATTTTAGTTTGTCTTTTGGAAGCATCAGCCATCAGATGTTTTACGATGTTATAAATTTTATTAAATATACTTTGATCACCAATTGATGTCTTTTCAAAATAACTGTGCAAAGTTTCTAGTGCTTTTACTGCTTCGCGTTTAGAATTTTTTAGATAGATAGAACTCTTTATTTGTACACCGTTTTACAAAAAGTATGGTACATAAAAGTGTCAGACATATAATATAGAAAGGGCGGCCTTATTGCTACAGGTAAACAAACAAACCAATGTAATCTTAGTTACAGAGGTTAATGTATATAAAGTTCACTCGCTGTCTCAGTTACAGTCATATACGTGTTCTACCGTTACAGTAGAAATTCGACCGCCAGGCTTTCTCTGAGTAGCAATTACGCAGTGTATTTTAGAGTTTATTTTACGCGTTGTATTTTTAGAGTATAATTACATCAAAACCATAAATATGCTTGCCGTTTTGTTGAACTGCGGTCTTAGTTTGTATCCGTATTGGTAATATGGTTATGTAGGCAGTTACATGTATTGCGACTAGCGTGTAAAGCTCCAGTTCTATACTTAAAAGTTG